CCAGCAACAACAGGTGTAGCAGCTACAAGAGCAATAGTTACAACAACAACAACAACAAGAACAGCACTACGATGCAGCACTACGAACAGCACTACGAACAGCAGTTAGGATGAAATTATACCAGAAAGTGAGCATCCTGTCGTGTATAATCTAATAAAAGAAAAGTTCTGTTGGCGTGTGATGAGCTCTCGACAAAGCAACGATGAATATGTTCAGAGCATAATATTGACAATAGCAACAAAGTATATTTTATTTACTTCTACATATTCTTGTAACTTATATTACATGCATAAATAATTAAATTCGTATCTTTCATATAATAATTCTTGCTGGTAACGTCGTTATTATTACTGAATTGAATAAATCATTTCCAATTAGTTGCTGTTAGTAAAAAACTGGTTGAAATTCAGATATCATATAAAATTTAAAGAAAGGATACGAGTAGTAATCAATGCTGATCGATCTGTATTGGTAATTGATTACTTTTACTAAATATTTAAACATGGAAATCAATTGCTTCACGAACAAAATGAAATTTTAAGAAGAAAAAGAAGATCGACTGTTTTATTTGTAATATATATTTACTTTGTTACTTGTTATGAATAAATATTTATTTTTATTTTAATTAGCTACAAATAATTTCGTTTTTTGATTCAATTGTCCAACCATAATTTATCGACTTTCCATAGTTAGTTTTCAGTTACACTAATATAGTATATTATTGGTTATGCAAAAAAATATGGATTCATATTGGGCAAAATATTGTTCGATTACAACTGCCTCATTACCTCGGCCATTCTATAATTTGTGGAGACAAGTTACTTAGCAAGTACGTAACTTTTCTGGTTGTTGTAGAGCCTAAGTCAATGCAAAATTTACCAGAATGATGGGTGAAATAATTAGAAATGGCAAATTTTTCTTCATTCTGTTAGCTACTTGCAGCTAACACGGAAATGTTAAAAAAACTTGGCCACTATATTCAGGTACAGTAATTTCAAAGTAGTTCTTATTTTTTACTCTTTCTGTTTCTTAGAGTAAATCTATTTCATCATCACTCAAGCTGGACAATGCGTCTAATAAGTCATCTGAATCACTGGACTCAAAATCGGACGTCTGTAATATTTTTAAAAGTTTATTTAAAGCACCGAGTTTTATTATATTCCATTTTTTATTACCACAAGTAAAAATTCCATATTAATAATAGAAGAATTACTATTTTTTTAAAGGGAACTTCCTGTATAAAATGTGACTATTTTTTACTTACATTAAACTAAAATCGTTAACAAAATAATTATCAAAAACATAAACCTTACTTATAGGTTAATATTAACAAGATCACGTCATAAATTCCTTGAAAACTAGTTTCTTTTTCTTTCTACGAACACCAAATTCTTCTCATAAAGCTAATATTTTTTATTATCTATTTAGTTTAATTATAGTCCGGAATGGCATATTTTCATGATTTATATAATTCAAAGGAGCTTACATTATTTTAAAATATTTAACACTTCACAATAATGACATGATTGATTTATAATTCAAACTGCCGCTTTTTTATCTCCCCTCTCTAAGTATGGGACACATGCAGTGTTACCAGATCTCCTGTTTTAACAGGAGATCTCCTGTTTTCACTCCCACTCCCCTGTTCTACTGTTTTCACTATGAGATCTCCTGTTTTTAGTTTCAATGTCTATTCTTCTGGTTTCTCTATGAAATCTTCTATTGATTATACTAATTTTCCCCAGAATAAAAATATTTTAGTACGACACTGTTCTCTAACGGCACTGTGTTCGTTAATTGTCAATATTTTCAGTCCTGTTATATTTTTTGTAGTCTAGTTCATGTACACATCTAAATTTTAAATCCGCAATTGGCGTTTATATGAACTAGGCCTAACAGAATAGTAGGCGTGTTCGTTTACTTCAGTGGGATTACGGGATTTATCATTTTGACAACTGACAGTTGTCAAATCACGTGACGTACCGATGTAATTAAAAAACTAACCGTAAAACTATTAAACGAACTCCTACATTTATGTATTTTGCTATATTTTGTGCATGTACAGTCGGCGCCACCCAAATGTGAACGGCAATATTGTACCGTGTAATTTAAACTTCAAATCATAGTCGTAAAATATGTCATTTAGAGCAAACGTAATTAAATGTAAACAAGTAATGTGAAATATGCCGGAGCATTTAACTGAAGCGCATAGAGCAAGAGCTATAGCTAAATTAGAAGATAATTGGTCTTTGAGTGAAGTAGCTGTTGATTTAAATGTCAGTAAGAGTTGTATATTTTATATTAAACAACGCTGGCGAGAACAATAATTACAAAGATCTATCAGGCAAGGTGTCGGGAAGGTTTCCAGTGAGACGCGGAAGACAATGCTTTGGTCGAATTTATCCATAAGAATACCCTCTCTGTGTTACGCCACTAAAAAAAGTCTGATTTACTACGATAAAATCCAGATGAAATTTCCATAACTACCAAAATGCGTTCACATTTGGGTGACGTCAACTGTACTTGTGTTCCTCTATTAAAAAATATGTTTATTAAAATCTCCTGTTGAAAAAAGAAATCTCCTGTTTTTTTGGCTACATTCCTACTGTTGACAGAAATTTCCATCTGGCAACACTGGACACATGGAACACTAGCGCCCTCTTATTTTTGTAAGATTTTTGTTTACATGGAGTTCGGGCTCCTTGTGTAGTCTCCATCATTCATATGTCAGATTTCATTCTACGTTAGTACTATATTTTCTATTATGATCACTAAGTCTAGTGATGGGCATAATCGACCAATTTTGATAATCGAGTACTTCTAATAATCGAGTGATCACTCGAGATACGAGATATTGGTCGTTTTCATCCCAGCGGCGTACAAATATGTTTGTATTAGTCATATATTACTTATAAGTGTAGCTAAAAAAAAAAAGCTCACGCACTTCAAAACCTAACCACTTTTTCGTTTTAATCTAAAAAAAGGTTACGCAATCAGTGACTATTTGCAGTATGCACTAACATTTTGGGGTGCAACCGTAGGGTAATAATCACTCGAGTGGTGGGAGTAAACATCTCGAGACATCTCGAGTGATCTCAATAATCGAGTACCACTCGATTTTTCACTCGAAATCTCCCATCACTAACTAAGTCGGCTGAACGTGCTTTGTGTAGATGTAGAGATATGAAGGCACCTTCACGAGGAGGTTCACTGACTGGGAGCGCTTCCGGGCCGTAATGCAAGGAAACATCGCGCTCCCAGTCATCGAAACCACCCATGATCTGGAGGCGGCAATCCTCTCCCTTGAGACTGACATTAAAAACGCCCTGACTCAGACTACGACGGAGACTATTNTGATATTCGTAGTAATTTAATATAACTTCAATTTGAATAGAAGTATATTTGAAAACACAAAAAATTTAATATTATTATAATTATGATCAAGCGTTCGTTCACGTCGAAAGCGCAAAAAAGAAATTAATATGCTTAGAAACAACGAAGAACTTTTAAAATGAAAGTTTTCTTCTACTTTCACTCACAATAAGGCCCAAAAACAGTGGTCAGATATTGCTGAAACTTTAAATGGTTTAATTAATGTTGTCGCGGATGGTTTACAATTTCTGCAGCTTGCAAATTATTCATGCATTATATTTAGAATTAATAATAAATTATTTGGATCCATTACAAATTTCAAATGATTACGCACCTTCAAACAGCGAATGAATGAAGTGACAATTTGCGCATGAGCATGAGATGACATTCGGATTCAAACTATTCGGAGAAAACGCCAATTCCCCCGACAAAACCCTGTGGAATTATTTCTCTTGATATCTAGAGAAAATATTCCACAAGAAAATTTCAAAAATCACATTATCTGCGTGTCAAGAGAAAATGACGTAATTTTCCCTAATGAACTAATTCTCCTGTTTTCAAAAATCAAGCCCCTGAGGTATTTCCGTTCAGGGGCTTGATTTTTGAAAACAGGAGAATTAGTTCATTAGAGAAAATTACGTCATTTTCTCTTGACACACAGATAATGTGATTTTTGAAATTTTCTTGTGGAATATTTTCTCTAGATATCAAGAGAAATAATTCCACAGGGTTTTGTCGGCGGAATTGGCGTTTTCTCCGAATAGTTTGAATCCAAATGTCATCTCATGCTCATGCGCGAATTGTCACTTCATTCATTCGCTGTTCGAAGGTGCGTAATCATTTGAAATTTGTAATGGATCCAAATAATTTATTATTAATTCTAAATATAATGAATAATTTGCATGCTGCAGAAATTGTAAACCATCCGGGACAACATTAATTAAACCATTTAAAGTTTCAGTAATATCTGACCACTGTTTTTGGGCCTTTTTGTGAGTGAAAGTAGAAGAAAACTTTCATTTTAAAAAGTTCTTCGTTGTTGCGCTTTCGACGTGAACGAACGCTTCATCATAATTATAATAATATTAAATTTTTTTTGTTTTCAAATATACTTCTATTCAAATTGAAGTTATATTAAATTACTACGAATATCTTGGAGATGTCTAGTCTCCCTGACGAATATAATGACATTTACAAAAAAACTTCAAAATCAAATCAAGTGACTAAACATCAGGGTCGCCAATAATGTCACTGAAATATTGAAGAAAACTCTGCCCGCTGATTGGTCAGTTGCAAATATATCCTCGACATACGGCATAAATTAAATTCTCTAGAGAATTGGATTCCTTCAACGTTCAAAAATAAGTGTTTAAGTTTTTAAGAGAAATTTGTCAGGTGAATTTTTTCTCTGGAGAATCAGTTCTCCTGTTTTTAAAAATCAAGCCCCAGCATATGTTCTAAGGTTTTCCTGCTCCTTAAGGCACTACCTTTGTAAGCCTATGAAGTTACATTAATGAACGTACTTACAATAATTTATTTTTTCTTATATTGGCAACATCTATAGCTACCGTATTTACACAGATTTGAAAGAGGATACGTATTTTGGTAAAACTGCTTTAGCGTATCAATTGATTAGTCGCCATTTTATTGATTGTCATTCTCATTCATACCTGACTGGGACATAATTTATTTTTGTGAAATAATTGCATTAATCAAAAGTTATTATTTTATTTGTGCAAATATTATAAAAAAAATAGTGTTACCAAGATGATGACAACATTTCAGCAACAGCAGCTGTTGCTTAACAATCTTAAAACGACTAATGTTGTAAGTATTAAATGTGATGAAAAATACATTTACTATTCATGTGTTATTTAGCCTTCTCCTCAGAGTGTTAACACATCTAACGTATCGCAGTCTGAAGAACCAGAACCTCCTGCACCAGGTACAGAAGAACCACCAGCTAAGATTCCCAGAATCGGAGGTAAGTTCCAATATTTGTATATGTAGTTATTAAGGTATAAAGCCTCAAGTTCGGGACAACCATATTAATGTGCGATGTCTGCTTGAGATGTTACAGAAATGAGATCAGCCGGTCGTAGCCTCGTGGACTCTGGCATAGCTGTTACTGTAGCCTACGCTACACGGTAGGATGAAAACAAAGTAATTAACCAGTGTTTGAGTATGAGTTGTTGAATTTAAAACATGTTATTATAAGATATTTGTTAGAAACCCATACTCATTCAACATATTTATTCGTATAAATAACTCAGTTAAGGAGAAATCCCGGTTGTTTTAGACATATCTATTTTCTTTTTGTGTTTCCAGATACAAATAGGTGCAACTAGTTGCGAGTTTTCGATTACTAGAGGCTTGCTTGACCACCACATGGATAGCGACTTGCCAGAGCTTCTGAAATGTACATATATACCCATATGACACTTTTTCCTATACAATTTTATATTTTTTGTGTTTCAGAAATTTTCGCCTGTTAGAAAATATTTTGAAAAGAGTGTTCCGAACATTCAGTTCATATTTAATTGGGTTTTTCACTGTTTAGGTTAATATTTTTTTATACCACTTAAAAGTAACAAAGACGAACTTTTTTATTTAAGTACTATCTGAATTATTTCTCCAAGTAAAATAGTTCATTTAAAGTTTGAAAAAATTTAATTGTAGTTTAATATCAAAGGAAATGCTTACACGAATGTAATTAGGTAATTTAATGTGTGCCATTTTATTTACCGATTTAATTTTTATTTTATCTGTAAACGTGTTAATTTTTTATTTATTAAAATATTGTGTTGATTGATGGGTAATGACATTTTACAGTAAACTAATAAAAATTGTAGTTAATATTCTACAACAAACAAGCAAAATAACTTAAGTAGTAATTCAGAAATGCAATAAACAATAACTGATTTCAATTTGGCCTTCATAAAAAGTAATACTTCTGTAACAGAGGAGCTTAACTAAGATGGATATAATTAATGTTAGCGACATGAGTTTTTTCTGTTATTTATTAATTTTTTTCCAGGTTGATTTCGATTCAGTTTTAAAATGTTTTCAAAAATATATTCCTCAACCATTAAAAACCTTTTTGAAGACAGTTATGGGAATAAAAATATTCTTTATTTTCCCCTAATAATAAAATTTCTAAAATCGATATACTTGGTACGACTATTAAATAGTAAATGTGAATACACTGATCAAATAAACATAACTTTGAGTCATAAAGGCAGGGACTTTTTCTATTGGCAGTAAATACAGCTACTTTATTTAATTTTTTTTGTGGAATCTTGTCAAAAAATATAAAATAATTTTAAATTAGTTTAACTTTTTTTTTTATTATTTACGTACTTGATATTAAATTAATAACATTAGCCAGCAAATTATTTTGTTTATTTATATTAGGTGCTGTATGAAGTTTAAACAATTGTATTTACCTGCTGAAAATTTTTCATTATACGAGTACATATAATTGGAGAAAATCTGCACTAAATATTTTGAATTAAAAATGGATAGTGTCCATTTACTTGTTTTTTTTCTGTCTTGATGCAGATATATATGAATGTTTTAAATTTCCAGATTTGAAGGGTTGTTAAGAATATCTCATTTACTCGTTGAATAATGGTAAATTTTCCATTTCCAGAAAAGTGGCAACAGAAAATTTCCCAGAATTTAAATTAACTACTTTATATACACGTCTTCGCTTTATGTATAAGTATTTTAATTGCATCTGAAATGAAAAGAAAGTTAGACCAAAAAATTTCTTTATTTTGCACCTACTGCATTTTTTGTTTTTTAATTTTTCTATTTTCCTGAAAATTGAAGACGGAAAAGAATAGACAACAGAAGATGTAATGTGTCAGTATTACTGTTTATTCAGTTTAGTCTGGTTTTATTGGATTAATGAATTATGGGAATATCGATAAAGAAGTTATATAATTGATTTTCTCACAAATGACATCTAATTTTAACAAATTTTTTATTTAGTGTTCAGTTATTTGGATAAGATAGAAATATATGGAAATTTCAATTTTCTGAATATGCAGGATGCCATCTAAGTATTTGCACCAAATTGGTGCATTTTCATTATATCTCAATAACAGATAATACGAGTCGAAGAATGAAACTACAGTTTGATTTCAATATTTTCTCTTGCACTTTCTGAAAACAAATATCAATATAGAATTTCTATTTTAGCATATAGCATATTTAGCATAATGAGGATTGAATACATAATTTTAAATAAATTTTGTTAAAATCATTTTAACTGTTTGTGAGAAAACCAATGCTGCAATTGGGCATATTTTTAGTGTTAATTTTAATGCAGAGTATATTTATTCCAAGTTTTGTTTATCTTTTCTACAATGTAATTAACACAATATTGTGCCTCTTCTCTACAGAAAATAAAAAAAAAATATTTTTTCAAAAGTAGCAACTTTATAATGATAAAAATGACGAAAAAAGCCAAGACTTCCTAAAATGTTATCTGCTCATATATTACACATTATGTTTGTTGTAGGTCCTTGCGAAGGGATCAGTTATATTTATGATTTGACGCAAACTGGAGAAGTTATTACAGGTAAGTCATATTGTATTTTTTGAGTGTGCATAGTAAATAAAATATATTAATTCAGGGCCTGGAGCACGCAGCAACACTATCGCTGGCATTTTGGGGGGTGCTTTGCCAAAACTGTCTTCGGATGATGCCGACGCTGTCAGTAAAGCTAAGAAATATGCCATGGAACAAAGTATTCGTATGGTTTTAATGAAACAAACTATTGCTTATCAGCAACAGGTATGTTCCAGTTTTCGTTATCTTTTCGTACAACTGAAACTGTATAAAATTTAAAGAATAAATGTACAAACTTTGATGTTTAAATTTGGTCCAGTTAAAGGGTCTTACAGGAACGTAAGTCAATCGGTTAAGCACAGATTCCTTGAGCAAAAATAATGGGATATGTATCATTGCCTCTTTTTTTCAAGTTACCGGATCTTAAAATTGCAACTAAAAAAAAAAATATTAACTCTGTTGTTTTGTAAAGGATATAGTTGAAATTTTTCAATGAATATTTATCTTATTAGCACACTTTTTGTGTAATTTTAGTAAAAATATCGAAAATGGAGGAAAAAGGGATTGTACTAGAACTAAATTCATTGTGAGGAATTTTCTTTGTAGATTGAATGCTTTATTGTGAAAAATTGTGTACCTTATTATTTTTCAACGTATTGTTCATCGCTAACCACTACTTTTTCTCAGCTATTTGGCATCGTACAGATTCCGCATCGAAAGGACAACTCATCTTTTGATGCTGTCCACTAATTGATCCAATTTTTCGTATCTTCATAAAATTGGAAGCGCTGCTTAGCCAGGCCGTGTTCCAGTTCTAATCCAATGGAGCATTATTAAGTATTTTTTGACTTCATGAGCAACATGTGGTCGAGTGTTGGTCATGTTAAAAAATTACTTTATCGTACCTTTGCTCAAATTGCGGCCGTTTATCTTTCAATGCATAGCTCAAACGTATCAATTGTGTGCAGTAGCATTCACCATTGATTGTTTCATTCGGTTGAAGAAGTCCATAGTACACAACACAAAGCTGGTCCCACCAAATACAGAGCATCAGCTTCGAATGCATGACCCCCACGATTTTCTATGCTGAGAGTTATCAACATCTATTTTTCATCGCCAGTGAGGATAGGATGCAAAAACTTTCTTTTTTGCCGTTGAAGCAGTAATTCACACGGGAAAAATTGTCGATCAACATCTCAGCTTCAATTCATATGGCATCCAATTTCTTTGCTCTTGAATCATACCGAGTGTATTAAAACGTTTGAAAACTGTTGTGTAATCAACATTCAATGATTCACCAAATTCATCTTGCATTTGACATGAATCTTGGTCGAGTAATGCTTCCAATTCCTCATCTTCAAATTTTCGGTTGACCAGGATATTCTTTGTCAACTGTATCGAAATCACCACTTCTAAAACGTTGAAAACCAATACTCACACATTTTTATTGATGGGGCATGTTTACCGTAAGTTTCCAGTAGCACTCGATGACTTTCAGCAGCATTTATCTTTGAATTAAACAGGAAAAGTAAAACTTCCAGCAAATGGTGTTTGGTTATCTGGTAATTTGACATTTTTGGAGCTGAGAAAAAATATGTAGTTTACACTTCAGCAAAATGACACATAATAAAAAGTAAAGCCTAATGACTTAGCTTTGACAAGAATATAGTTACAGAAGTGTCCGATGCAATATAGCATAAGTTACGAGATCTATTGTAAATCCCTCAACATTAATTTATAGTCCTAGTAGCACTCATTAAACCCCTTTACTTTATTTGTACATGCCCAGAGACATGATTTCTAAATTTTGCACCCTAGGCGAATATGATCAGCCGCCTCAGTACTTGTTACTAAATGTAAAATGTCAGCAAAAAACCCAGAGGGCAATCGCCCCTATGCCCTTAGGAAAATACGTCCCTGCACACACCTATGGTTCTACTGTATTTTATAAAAAGTTTGTTTGTTTGTTTGTATTCTAATACATATTGAAATGTAAGTCTAGATATGAAATTAAGATAGTTTCCAAAATTTGATTGTAAATTTAACAAAACCCTTTCCAAAGTCAATGTCACATTTCTTATAAAAACACCAAAGTTAAACTCTACTTCAAAATTGTACAAGAATAAAAAATTTAAAGGAACAATTTGGCCTACGAATGAAACTTGGGTATGCATAAGTTAAATTGAAAGGGTCACTGACTACTTCAATCTTTTTTTTTTTTAATTAAAATTGTAATTTTTCATTTAGAAAGTGTGCCGTTAAGAGATAAAAGTTTGTACTGGATTTCAATGGGATATCCTGACATATCTTTTTGAAAATCAATTTAGTATTGAAATAAAGCCAGTTTTTGTAGTGCTGAAAAGTAATTTTTTAGCCCATGTGCGAAAAAGATTCATTATTTATTTTTTATGTGCATAACAATGGACTTGGTAACAAAGTGTATGTACCTATATGTTACAAATATTTAAATATTTTATTTCATATGAAGTTGATGATAGTTAAAATAAATTATTTTCAATTCAAATAATTATTAAAAAACAATAGAAGAAATATTATAACTGCGAGGCTTGCGGTCTTCTTTGACAATTTCATATTACCTGCCAAAAACGTTCACTTTTAGCAGTAGTTACATAATTATTTTCAACTTTGATACTCTTGAGAAAGGCGCCCAAATGGCATAAGTAAATTTAATTAAAGAATCTGTGGTTAATAGTGACCTACTTTTTGCAACAACCTGTATAGTTAAAAAAAAAAGAAAATATCATAATTTTGTTTCATGGAGATTTAAATAATGCGTAACAATTTTTATAGTGTGAATTTTGAATTTGTTATAAATGTATACTTTGGTAATTAATAAATTATTCTTTAAATTTTACTTCAGATTCTGTTTTGAACTAGTTACATTCAAGCTGTTTCAATCAGTTACATATATCTCGCCTACATCTTCATGGTAGTGAGTATAAGAATTTCAACACAAAATTTTTATAATCTATTAATTCTCTTATATTTTATGTTATTATACCTAATTTCTTTATTTTTTTTTTAAACATCACCATGACTTGTAGGCGAAATAAAATGATCTATATTGATGTTAAAAATAATAATTTAATATTGTACTGACAACTGTACTTATACATTTTGGAACATCAGTATAGATTCAGTGTGAAGAAGTGGGTGTTCTAATATTTAATACAATTATGTCTAAGGCTTGTGTAAATTATACATGACATCAAAACCCGGTGTTTATTCGAAACACAAACATAAAGGAACCATAAATATCTAAAATAACAAGCAATCAATATATAAAATGTATAAATATCCATTTGTACAAGGAAAACATCTAAAATAAATTTTTTCAAATTGTTTTTTATTCTTAATTTTCTTATTAAAATAAAATTATGATCCTGAAATGTATAATTGTCTCACAAGCTTTAGTTAATGACATAGTAAAATAACTAGTATTTATGATGATGAAAAACTAAATTCGCCACTTTTTCACAGTGAAGATAATTTTATTTATTGCTGCATAATACTGTAATCTTATAACAAAATGTTAATTATTAATAATTGATTAATATCATTCATAGTATTTATATCTACTAACAATGCAAACTAATTTAAATGTTTATATTGATTCTTATATTCAAAGAGAAAATATATTTTTCAATTTTCAAAACTAACTATTAAACTATACTTAAAAAATTAAGAAATTTTGTATGAAAATAACTGGTCACGGGTGTTTTTTTTTAAGTCTGTACAGTTATATGGACAATTTTAAGTATGTACAGAATTCTCATTTATATTTTAATATCTGGGTAGAGGGTTTATTTGAAGAATTTAACATATATCGTCATAGCGCCTTCAAAATGAGACACGTTAAGTTATGCATATTCGATAAACGACATCAAACCGTATAATCTGGTTAAAAAGAGCCATCTTATTTTCTACAGAAATGTGACTGTCCGCGGTAAAATTAAAAACGATAATTATAATTCTTAAGTAAAAAAGCCAAGAAACAGTTTTTTAACTCAACTGAACAATTTGATAAAATTTACGTCGTAAGGTGTAAGAAGGCACTACAACGATATAAGGTTATAGTTAAGAACATCAACAAACTGATTCTTTGAGTGATTTTAAGTATATGGTTATGTAAACATGGATTCTTATATCGAAAATTAAAAAAATATCCATCCACTAGTATAGAGACAAAAAAAACATTAGCTCAAGTTTCATCATTCTGCATCAAACGTTTTTAGAGATATTCTAGAAAATTTGAAAAGTTTTAAAGCTTTACGAGTGTAGATATTCATAACTATCAATTTCTGTCACAATTATATTCATAAGTTTTGGATTGATGAATGATAGCAATCAGAAGGACGTTTAATCATGTCAAAATTGATATCAACTGTCAATCTGTTGTGGCGGTCGATAATAGTCACAATGTTTTCACTGTCATTTTGCGTGAGGTCCACTTCATCTAACGGATCACCTAATGAAAAATCAGATCGTAGCTACAAATATGATATGACATCAAATCTATTTACCCAAAAATATTTTCATGATCTGGTAGAGCTTCCTTATTGTCTGCTTGATCATCAGGTTCCAACAAAATGTCATTATTTAGTCTAGATTTGTTGAAGGTTTCATTATTATCTAATGAAGAAAGGGAAAATTGATCAGTCAATTTTAGACTCGTAGAATCTGTGTTGGAGTAACCACAATCAAAAAGATCTCATTATCTGAAATACATTAGTTACTGTGCTGAGTATTTTTGTCTGTGCCTATACCTTGCACAACTTCTAATATGACACCTTCATTTTCAATCATTCGTCAAAGCAGTTTCAACAATTTATAGTAGTAATAATAGATTAAGTAATAATTTTATTGTTTTTATCCAAACATTCCAGACCACCCGTACACCCCTTCTAAAATCTAAAATACGTGGTTATGTGAAAAATGGTTCTGATGAAAGTTGTTAGTCTCTGAGGGGCACATTTTTGTCTGTGACCTTGAAATTCATTTTCAAGGTCAACTTTGTTTTTTCAAATACAAACCCTAATTTTTTTTCCCGGATTCGGAAAGAGCTTACAAATCTACGTTCAGACCCTGCATTACATGTGGACCCCTCCCCCCTTCCCTGCATGGTCTTGTGAAGGTCAAACTGAATATCGTTTTTCACGTTTATGACTGCAGGAGTGTTTTAGCAAAAAAATTTTCACACGAAAGTTGCTTGATATCGAACGGAACGTTGTTTGAAGACCTAAATCTGACCTTGAAAGTCATTTGCAAGATTATTTCAAGGCCAACTTTGGAATGTAATGAAATACCTATGTTGATTATGTTATCAATTCAAGTTATAACTACTCATTGTAATGAAATTTTGTTAAAATGACATGAATGTTCAGTCACACTAGAATCGAGGTACTGCTTTTTTAGTATCCACAATGAATACTGTTTTTAATGAATTAATGAAATTTCGAATACTGTGACCAGAAAGATGAAAAAGTCGCTCAGGAATAGGCTACCCCTCTTAAAAATAGAATTTTTCACTCTTTCCGAATCCGGAATTCTGGGCTTAAAAATGAAAGTTCCCACTTGAAAAAACAAAGTTAACCTTAAAGTAACCTTGAAAATTACCTTCAAAGCACTAGGTAAGCACGGTGCTCCTGAGCGAATTTAAATGAAATTTTCGAGTCACTCCAAAATAATATGATATCCTGTTTCTACAATACTTGAACATCATTTTAAGCCCTGAATCAAAACATTTGGTGTGGCACTTTTTTTTCCGATGGCAAAATAAGAAATTTGATATTTTTCATGTAGGTAACTATAAAAATTTTACTTCAAAAATCAAAAAAGGAGTTGTAAGTTATTTTAACAAAGTGAAAACTATTAAGCCAGTATATATATTAAATGTTTTATTCTTTTATATACACAAAATAAAAATTAGATTTATTATAATGGTACAAACATAATTTATAGCAAAATTCATAATTCAATCGTATAAAATTACAATCAATGTTCAATCAATCAGTTGAATAAATGATTCAGTGCATTTTTACACGCAACTAATAGATGACACGGCTAGACATGAGAGGCATTGTAATCGCATAAAGCACGTAATAATTTCATAGAATATTCAGGGTGAATGTTTGATGCTTTGTATCGATCCCATATTTTTGAAAAATCTGAATGTGCGGATTCTGTAGCTTGTTCGCTGTAAGCTAATTCTCTGTTTTTTTCCAAACTGTAGTTTATATTATGAGATTTAAATAAATATTTGTAATATGCATATATCATGTGTTGAGTAGTATTTGAATTAAAGGGTTTGCCACTGGGCATAGATGTCATTTTCTCTTCTCACAAAATTGGGCTTTTCTCATATGATCGATCTTTTGGACTTGTTAAAGAAATAAATGGTATAAATTATAGACCAACTTCAGCTTTTTTAAATGTAAAGGCCTCTATATTGTTTCATATTTGGATAAAGTGCTTTCTTAAGATGATATATTATTGACTTTATTTTACACTTTTTTATTTTTATTTGTTTAATTTGAGTCTAAACCCAAAATGTTTTAAATATCTTTCTTTCTAATTAAAATAATAAATCCTCTACCTAGGTGTCAAAATATAAATGAAACCCTTTAACATTATTTTTGAGACGATTCACCTATGTTTTGATGTTTTGATACAATGTTTTTAATAGCATTTTATAGCAAGGAAAAATTTTCAAAATAATTGCAAAATTTTCCTTTCTCTCAGAATAAGAGTAAAAGTAATAGTAGAACTGTTCCATTTTACACATTAAATTATTATTTTTTAAATGATTTTTGTAGTCGAGTAAAACATTTTTTTGTAAGATTACAGTATTTTGTATATTTTGAATCAAGGTATCAGATAATATAAGTGACATTGAATACAAAAATAAAATTTGTTCCTATGTTTCTCTGATCATTTATATATCTGTTCCATTATTACCTGATACCGTTTAGCTAGTTCTCTTGTCTTTGGTCCGCAATTCTGTTATTTTCCATTTTATTTTGTTGGATAATGTAAAGTTAACTATATTAGTTTAACGCAAAGTGTTACTAATTCAATTTTGCTCCACAGAAAAATAAGACCTTCCAGAGACATCAAGTATTAGTTTTAATGTGCAGGTTAGTGCGTAGCTTAATTCGCACGCGCCCGCTCAGGGGGGCGAGAGCTCGCCCCCATGCTTAAGTTTTCTCATAGTTGTGACGTGGCTATTGTCCTCTGTTGCAGCAACAGGCTAGTCAGAGGACTCAGGTCCAGAGGCAGCAGGCTCTCGCCCTTATGTGCAGGTTAGCACGCAACACCGCCTTCCATCATACTCTGTTGCCCCCCAATACCATCCTTTTAACAGCCTACTCAGTAAGACTAACGATTGTTATAATATTTTAATAACGTACTTAATAACCAAAATAGCAAATTATACAGAAAAAAACAATATTTTTTCAATAAATGATAGATTGAGATATGAAATATTTTGCAAACATCTATAGTGTGTCCCTTTTTGCATAGGCCAAAGTTTACTTAGTGATTAAGGTCCTCAAAAAAGAAAAAGTTCCCGTAAATGTGCCGAGTTGAAATTCCTACATTCTAAATGGTTCTTTGAATAAATTTAAAGAATTTTTTTACTAACTTTTTTAATTATTGTTTAATTCCGACCTAATAGAAAATAATGTAATAAAACCTTGTATCCATCTAAATAACTAACAAAGTTTAAATCATTTGTACTTAAAGGTTCAAATTAAAAATGCAAGAAACATTTTTTTCTTTAAAGAAGTCAACATTAAAATTAGAACTTGGGAATATTTTCTCTTTTTGTTGTTTAGGTCTTCACGAAATATATTCAAAGGAAAATTTCGATGTGCCTACCTTTACAAAAGATGAAAAAAAAAGAAATATTCATATAAATTTTTATTTTTTCACATCAATCTAAATATCAATCTAAGCATTTTCCAACCTATGTTTACAAGAACTTTTTTCTTATTCTGAGTAGTTCTATCTAGACGTAATATTTGGTATATTGTAATTTTGGAACACCCTGATGAAAAATTGTAATTATTGTTTAAAATTATTGTGTTAAATACGAATATTAATTTCTCTACATTAAAATAATTATTTGAGCATAAATTATATTAACTTCTAGAAACATGAACTTTACAGAAGTTTTAAGACGCAATACTATGTGAATATTTTAATACTGCTTTTAATTTTACATTTCCAATTGGAATACAAAGTTTAATTTGAAGGAAACAATGATAATAATTATAATTTTTTAAGCAATTAAGCTTGTTCTTAGAAAAAAAAATCCTTGCAATATTAAACTGTTTACTAAAATATATTAAGGAAAATAATTAAAATTTAAAATACATCTAGCCATTTTTTTTTTTTTTCAACACAAATTTGAATTTAATAAATATTAATGTGTTTCCTAGTATAATAATGACAATAGCTCTCATTCTGCCACACAATTATTTGACTTGATACATTGATCTTTGTGGTTAAATAAGAAAAAGAAGTATTGTTATATCATGTTCAAAAGTTGAAATTATTTAAAAATAACGAAAATATTTCTTTGAACAGCCAGTAAAAACGAATATTTTTAAATCAAGAAGCATGAGATTTTTGCATTTTTTACAATAATTAATCATTTAAAATTTGAAGAAAATCTAGGGCACTTGATTTTTAGAATCTACGTTATTTTTTTTGTGCCTTTCGAGACGGAAACAATTTTTACATCATTGTATTTCTATCTGAATAGCACTCATAGTCTGGCTATAACTATTTCGTTTTTTAGATAATTTGAAGAAAATATTCACATAGATTTTTGCAAGGGATTTTTTTTGACCTCAGATTTTTATTTCTACATTTCTGATGGGCAGAAACATCACCAACTGTTGGTTTTTTCTCAGTAATGCGCATTGGATTGTATGCTGAACAAAAACAAAATTTTTTAGCTTTGATAAGTAAAGTAACAAATCTGGCCACTACATAATAAATTTTTAAAATTTAATGGAACAAAATTTAAACTCCTAAATTTTTGCTTGTCACCATGAGACAGAACAAATATTTATGAAAAATGTTTAGAGACTAATAATTCTGAGAAGTCTATTAAAACTTAAAATCTATATTTACATATACATATTTTTTATATTTAGTGTTATAGAATTTATATTCATGTTTTATTTCTCAATTTACAATTCACTTTAATGAAATTTTTGTACTGTTACTGCAGTACCATTTAATCTTATTTTATAGGTTCTGTTAATTCACACAATCAAATATCCTGCAGCATTTGTAGCTTTTCTGATTTTGATTCTCGCTTGCAGCTGTTTGCATGGGGAGCAGCAGAGTATCATTCATTGGCATATTTTCTATTAACAAATAATATGATGATAACTTGTATGTATTGAAGTTGTTGAGGATTTTTTTCTCCGACTTGTGACTATTTTAGCTGATAAGATCTGATTGTAACTTCTATTATATTTAAGTGAATTTTTATCCAATCGAAGAGATTTGGGTTGAAGGTGATTATATTGTTTCGCTTTCAATCTAACTGAATCCTTGTTATGGTGCTAATTTTAGTTCGCATCTCATTTTATGATGTCATAACGTAACTGTAGTGGTAAATGATTCATCTTTAAATTTAGTAGGTGTATGATTTAATGATGAGTAATATTTACGTTATAAATTATTTTATTACATACACAAAAAATATTTCACAAATTTATTGTCAACTTTTGTATTAAAAAATGTGACAAAATTATGATTGAACATGTGATGGACAATAATCAAGCATTTTACCTAGTGGGAAATTGTTTTTTTTTACAGATAATTTATGAAATTAATGTAATAGAAATTATTACAGAAAAAAATGTTAAATATGACTCTCCTCTCTAATAACTGGATTTATAGAAATTCACTTAAATATATGTTTTTGCAAAAATTATGGAAATGAGACCTATAAACTTCGTAGCAGGATGTTAAAATTGGAGCATTTACCTCGTACAAGTTTTAAAATATTTCATTCGTTTGTGTTACACATAATTAAATTGCCAATCATTATGAAAAAATTAAGTCTCAACTCAAGATAGGTTGATGCCACTGAAATTTCTTTTTGTCATTTTTGAAATATAAATTTTATTTTGAATGAAAATGATTCGGCTTTTTTGCATAGTTTCTATCGTTTTAACACAAATTGTAAAAGTGGTATGTTTAAGTAAATTTAGAATATTTTACGATAGCTATCGCAAATATTGTCAATGAGGCTTAGTACACTTTTCGATTCCAAAATTGACAAAAATACATCTACCCTAAACGGACCAACTCCCTCACCTTTTTTCCCCCTCCATCCCCTTAAATGAGATGACCCACATTTACATTGAATAAACCGAAAAAGAAAAAATCAATAATTATACATACATGTTTGTGCATATTTGATTGGCCACTTTGAATTTCGTAATTCTGAATTCATAATTGTAATCAGTGATCCAAGAAAATTTCTATAAACAAATATTTGAAGGTCTTTTTAATTTTTTTGTCCGCCATATGGAATACGTAATTTTGAATTTCGTAATTATGCCTTCAGATTCGTAATCAGATACTGGCCTTAGGAGCCCTCCTAATATTGATGTCTTATTTTATCAAATGTGGTTTTCTTAAAAACTGCTGAAGATAATTAAAATTAGAAAATGGTGTTATATTTTCAGTGGCTGCCATTGTAGGATTAACGAATTTTAGTTTTTCAGAAACTCCTGTTTCATTACCACTATACTCCGCGGTCGAAATTATAGAGAGTGACTCATCGCTAGCTTTTGGACTAGTAAGGGGGATGAAGCGTGCCGGGAACGAAAATCCATTGGCGTGTCTGCGTAAAAGGCAACAAGATATAGAAAATATTGAAAAAAGATAATAAAACATAACATCTAATATTTTCTACGGTTTGCTATAATCGGCATTTTGATCCATTTTAATTATTACAGCATTTTAAAACGTCCCAGTTGTGTTTTTTTAATTTATAAATTTATTATAGCCATAGAATCAAGTCCGTTTACACCCACTAAAAAAGCATTTCCCTATTCCCTACCAAGTGCAAAAGACAGAGATAGAATATAGATCGACGTTCAGTGTAACTCAGTCTATAGACGATTATAGGTTCTATCGATGTGCGTAGCAAGTGGCACAAAGATAAATAATATTGAACCGTATAAAAAATATTTTATATTTTATACGCATTATGGTAATAGTGTTTTTATATTATGTCTGAATCACTCTCTATAATTTCGACCGCGGAGTATAGAAAGAATTTTTAATTTTAAGAATTTTTTTTATATTCTGTTTTTGTGATAATTAATAATAGTGGAAAATCACTTTGTATGTGATGCATTCACTTTAAAAACCAAAATTCAATTAAACTACTCTAACTTCATTAATTTTCTTGTTTATCAAATCCCAGATTTTGAGGAAAGGAATTTTCTATAATATTTCAATAACAGTTGAAAGTGTAAAAAATTGCTAAATAGGAAAGGTCTTATAAGTAAAAGTTCTTTTCAATGTCATCAAAAAGGGTATGTTTCTGAGGGAAAAAAAAACAATTCCTTCCGAAGGTGTGATTATATAATTACAAATTTTTATCTGAATTACAGCCACAAATATGACACCATTTTTATAATTTAACTATCAAGTCATTTTCAAGAAAAAAGGCATTCCCCAATCACTCTACTCTATTGGCAGCTGTTTTAAATATACAAGTGCAATTTGATTTTTTCTCTAAAGTTCAGTTTACATTTACATTTACTGTAACAGTGTCCATATAGGTCTTTCTGAATATCCATTCGGATGTGCTCTTTCAGATACAAAAAATATAAAGATGTTTTTGTCTCGCTTTGGAATAAATGTAAATTTTGATCACAATTTTAACTAATAATTTTTACCTCTTTTTTGTCTTCAGAACTCAAAAAGTTGTTTGTAACATTTCCATAATTAATGTAAATTCTTAATAATTATGTAAATATTCTAAGAACGAAAAAGAATGCATAGTGAAAAAGTAAATAAATTTAGGGTATATGTTGGGAGTATAAGTTTTGAGCTAAAAGAGGACACGATAAGGCAGTCGTTTCTACCATTCGGACCGATAAAATCCATTAACATGTCATGGGACCCGGTCACTCAGAAGCACAAAGGATTTGCTTTCGTTGAGTATGAAATACCAGAGGCTGCACAGTTGGCCTTAGAACAGATGAATGGTGTAATGATAGGTGGTCGTAATATTAAAGTTGTAGGAAGGCCCAGCAACATGCCGCAGGCACAAACCGTCATCGACGAGATACAAGAGGAAGCGAAGCAGTATAATAGGATCTATGTCGCCAGCATTCATCCTGACTTGACAGAAGACGACATTAAAAGGTATTCATATAATTTGAACATTTAAATAAAAATCCAATACATCAAGCGTTGTGTGCAGCTGCAAATAAATTTGCAGTACGTGCATAATATTTACCAATCTTTTTATATACAGGATGCTTTTTATAAAGAAATAAGTCAAGCTTTTGACCACATATTTTTTTGGCGCATATTTTACAATTTTCCTTATGCCGTTTTTTATTTTTCAAGATGTCTGTCTTGCAATTATAATGTAAAAAAAAAAATTTTAGTTCATTGATTTTTTTTTTTTTTTTGGGGGGGGATAGAGTTGAAATTTAGCAGTAAAAAAAGTCTCTTGAAGAAAAAAAGGAGTTGTAGCATTTCTTTAATTTTTTCCTTCTTGAAAAATTTTGGTCTAAAATAATAAAATTAAATTCTCCAGATTAGCTAAATCCCACAATGTTCTGATTTGCCCCAAAATGGCAGTTTGACATACGTTGATTTGTGCTATTTATAAAAAAGAAAAAAAAAAGACTTAAAATTTGATTATTGTATCATATACAGGTTTATATGCAAAAATTTTAAATACGAATTGGGAATCGGAAAATAAGAAAAAAAGTTCCTATGGACGTATGTCCGGAAACGATTCGTTAAGGAGTTACGGCCGTTTAAAAATGGAGGTCAAAATCAAGTTTTAAATTTTTTTCTCAAATTTGAAAACAGATAAAATCCTGAATTTTGGTACAGATGTTATACTGATCCAGGCCCATCTAACCAGTATTTTTTCGTTAAAATAATCTTATTTGGAACGGGTGAAAGCAACAACACCCTGTATATTTTTCATAAAAACATTTGACTCATTAGGATCTCAATTGTTGCAATACATCTTTTGGAGAGACATATTAATTTAGAAACTTTTTCATCTCTTTCATCTTTATTATGAAATAAGTAGTTTTTGAGTAAAAAATAAAATGAAATTTTTGTTTGTATTTCAACGACTAATCTAACTGGGTGCCTATATCTAAATAATAAGAATGTAAGACGTAACATGAAATAAGTTCAATTTATCATAATTCTTTATTACAATCAGGTAGTAGGTCTCAATAGATGTAAATTCAGGATTTTATCTGTTTTCAAATTAAGAAAAAAATTTAAAACTCGACCGCCATTTTTAAACGGCCGTAATTCCTTAACGAATCGTCCATAGGAACATTTTTTCTTATTTTCCGATTCCCAATTTGTATTTAAAATTTTTGCATATAATCCTGAAACACCCTGTATAGAAATGTTGAGGTATTGTCTAGTGAATTGTTCAAAATATAGTCCACTGCAGTACTTTATCAATATCTAGGTACTATAAAATAAGATTTTACCGCCTTCTATATGTTGACTTTTTAAATTCACACCGACTTAAATTCCCTCGAATTATTATTATCATACACACGACCTAATTTAGGAATAGATTTCCAGTGTAAGTGTGAACAAAGCTAATGTTGTCATGTTTGCAGTGTTTTTGAAGCGTTCGGTCCCATCATATACTGTAAACTTGCGCAGGGAAGCTCCGGTCACAAACACAAGGGATACGGATTCATCGAGTACGAAACCGCACAGGCGGCGAACGAGGCCATTGCCAGCATGAACCTGTTCGACTTGGGTGGTCAGTATTTACGTGTCGGAAGAGCCATAACCCCTCCTAATGCGCTCATGGGACCTTCATCCGGGTCAAGTGTAATGCCTACGGCAGCTGCAGGTAGTATTTAATTTCTTTCAACGTTAATGTCTTTTATGAGTTACATCAATCTGTTGTCACCAGCTTTATAAATTCATTTTTTTATCATACCGATAGTTTGTCATATACAGGGTGGTAAATAAGCACATGCAGAATGGTTCTGTTTTTTTTTATCATACTAATAGTTTGTAATATACAATTTCCTAAGTTTGTACAGAAAATCAATAAGCGTATTCTACAGCTAAAATTAAGGTAATTTAGTTAAATAAACATAGGGTCCTAAAACATCATTACATTCAGACAAAGGACGTGGTTTATGCACGATATGTATCCCCCACACATATTAGTTTGACAACTCTTGTGTTCAATAAGTGGATTAAACGAGTTGCTCTATAATCGTACGACCCTGGCCGCCAGGTCACCAGATTTCAATCCCAAAGATTTTTTGTTTTTTTTATTTAAAAAATATTAATAGGCTATTGATAAAATAAAATAATATTATTTTTTCAAACTCTTAGCACAGTTTCTCATAAAACAAGCATTTAATAAATGAAACTGTAGGGATGCCTATTATTACTGTAATTTTGATTTTCAAATTGATCTACTTTGATAACTAAATACTGGGTGTACCACGAAATATTTTTAATAAATAGGTTTTTATTTGTAAAGTCAAATTTATTAGAAAAAGAACATGAGCACTTTTTTAATAGCAAATTTCCAAAATTCTGAAAAATTACAGTGTTTGTATTTTGTTAGCAGCCAATCATTTTAAAATCGAACCACCCTGTGTAAATACAATGACTTTTTTTTATGTGCATTAAACTATTAAACCCGTTATTTGCAGTGGCCGCGGCAGCTGCTACGGCAAAAATACAAGCGATGGACGCAGTGGCCAGCAATGCGGTAGCTCTAGGACTGTCGAATTTAAGTAAACCAACAACCATTCCAGCAGCTACCCCCACTGTTGTTATGCCAGGTATCACCCAACCGGTGGTCAGCATGCCTCATGTGGTAACCACGCCCTCCATATCTTTGCCCGTTACAGCCGTCGCCCCGCCGTCTGTAATACCACCTCCCGGAATTGCGATTCCTCAAATTACCCAAAATAACACCATACAACCGGCCATAGTCACACCTATAGTAAACACGGTCCCACAAATCCCCATTCCCCCTCCTACTGTCATTGCACCCCAGCCCATTGTCAATTCTTCCTCTCAAGAAGCCATGAAACGGGCCCAGGAGGCGCAACTCAAACAACAGGAGGAGCTGCAAAAGAAACTTTTAGACCAGAATGAACCCCAGACTTTACAGCAGCAGGAGAATATGTCTATTAAAGGACAAAATGCCAGACATTTCGTCATGCAGAAGCTCATGAGGAAGGTGGACTCGAGAGTTGTTATTTTAAGGAATATGGTTGGACCCGAAGATGTAGACGAGACCCTACAAGAGGAAATTCAAGAAGAATGTAGTAAATTTGGGGCTGTTGAAAGGGTGATTATTTACAACGAAAAACAGACGGAAGACGATGACGATAACGATGTGATAGTTAAGATCTTCGTAGAATTTGTAGAAACACATGGTAAGTTGAGAATACTATCATCTTTTCGGCAAAATTTATATACAGGGTGTGCCCAATCATTGTGGAGCTTCCTATGAAACTAAAAGATGTTTTAAATTTACACCAACCGTATGCGGAGGACGGGAGAAGGAGAATTTATCAGATGGCATTGGTGCAGAAACATTTTTTTCCTGTACAGAGTGTAACTTTGAATGAGGGTCATATTTTTACGAAAGCTACTTTAGACCTTTGGAAACACGTATAAATTTATTTTCTCAAATACAGCGTGCATTGTTGTCAAATCTCGTATTTTTTTTTATTCGTATACATATTTATTCATAATAGCTTTGTTTCTGCAGCAATTGAGGACCGATTTGAAACTACCAGAGATATTTGGCCAGTCGGGTCATGACCCTAAATTTGCTGATAGTAAGTGACAACTTAAGTTTGAAAACAGTTCAAGAGTGCTGCAGAAACAAACCTAATATCACACAGAAATTTAACAATGAAGACACAAATACGCCATACTTAAAAACGAATACTTCATTCAGAAATCGTGAAATTACCTGCCATATAAAATAAATGTAATAAAATGAAGTGGTGGCATATTCGGCCATTCTCATTTTACCGAATTAATATTTGGCTCTATTTTTTACCCAGCTAGCGCTCTATCGCCATATCATATCAACTCAAAGGGATTGATATGTAGGCAGTTCACTTAAACTAGGTCAATGTGAGAGGTCATCGACACTGAAATTCACAAACTAAACAAAGTGCTTTAAAAAATAGTAAATATTTTTTTATAAAAACTTTGAATTGGTTTAAAAAATATATTCATTATATACATTTCATAAAATTCTTTTAAACTATAAAATGCAATACTTATATGTAATGTTGATATTGTAACATTCAATAATATTCTAGACACAATTTACGCAATAAATGTAACGGTTAATTTTGAGACGATATTTTATACGTCGACCTCTTCAGAGCATGGTAAATTTTCATTCATTCATCATTTTTTTCAAAGAATTGACTTTTGTTTTTAAATACGTAAAAAGACCTCGTTATTTTTCAAAACATCTAAAGCACAATGAAATTACAAAAGAAAATGTGAAAAGTCGATAAAAATGTATTTTTCTGGATCTGGCGATGACTTTCACAGACTTTTGCTTACACTACTCGAAAGAGCGGAAAAAAATAAGTTGATTTAAAAGAAAAGCATTGGGGTAGCTGCTTTCTCAGTGCAACAATCCACTTGTTAAGTAAGAATTTTGAGAAGTCGAGCACAGCATGGGCACTATGACGTCCCAGCGCTCCCCTCTCCTAGCTACCGCTCAGCCACATGGAACATGCTGGCTTTAACGAATGTTTATTTGGTTACTTCTTGGTCGAATCCATTCAAAAAAAATTCAGCGTATAAAGGAAGTCTTCTACTTTACAACGAGACCAAGTTTATTCCAAAATATTAAATAGAACAGCCAAAATACCGTTTAAAGGAAAAAAAAATATCTCGGCTCCTATTGGTCAGATCAAGACGTTTTTTTTTCTGCCATGTTTTTTTAAGCACTATTTGATGCAATTGGTTTGAAATCTGTATATTAAAAAATTGCCAAGATAAGGACCCTAGTTACCGTTTTGTTAATAACTTTTTTATTTTGCAACTTAAATATCTGAAATTTGGATAGGCGCGAGATAATGTAATTATCTTTCGAACCTTTTTACAAAATTTCGATATTTTGACTTCGGCAGAGAATATACGTGCTCGCATTTTCGACTATAATTTTGCAATAGTCCGCCATTTTGAAATTCGGGGTCCGAATTGCGGGTATTTGTTAAGCACCCAAGAGTTATCTTTTCCTGTAGTTTCATCCAATTTCAGTCAAATTTGTTCTTTTTATTTCAATCTGAAAATTTTGCACTTTTATCTTCACTGCTAATTTTGCAATGTAAAAAAATCTTTGCGAGGCAAAAGCCTGTCTGTAGCAAATTTCCTCGGGAAGAAAATCGATAAGTATACCTCATGTCGATTAGAGGCTTATTTTCGGAGATATAAGCGAAAAACTGAAAAAAGAGCAATAATTTTTTTTTCTTTTGTTATAAAACAATATGACGCTCTAACTCTACAAATACACTTTATAACGAGCGTTCAAATAAAAACGTGGTCGAAGTTGGCTCTGACACATTGGACGTAGGGAGTAGCTTATAGCGACCAACTTAACCTCATTTCTCAACGAGCTGTATAGCAGCTGTCAGTTTCAATAACGTTAATGACTATATAACTTTATTTTAAAGAATAATCGTGATAACAATAACAAACAATTAAAGGAGCTGCGGAAAGTGTCCCCCTCCTTGTTATAACAATAAATTAAAGCAGCTGCTGAAAGTGTCCCCCTCCTTGTTCCAAGCACTTTTCACACCTGTTCCTCAAAGAATTAAAGACATTTTCTAAGATGCTCGGGGTATTGTTAATTTCACGAATCTTGTCTATAAGTCGAGCCTGCAGATGGTTTAAATCAGGAATAGGCAGTTCAAAAATAGTGTTTTTAAGGTAAGGCCACAAAAAGAAATCACACGGCGTAATATCACATGACCTCGGTGGAAATTCATGTTCAGCATTGAGACTTATTAGTCGATTTTGGAAAACTTCCCTCAACATATTCATCGTCTCGCCTGCCGTATGTGCCCTTGCGCCATCTTGTTGAAAGTAAAAGTTTGTAATTTCGTTTTCTTCCAGCTGGTTAACAAAAGGAGCGATAATTTCTTCTCTATACCTTTGCGCAGTAAGAGTACCATTAAAAAAAATAGGTCCATAAATCCTCCTTCGATTGAGAGCACACCAAACTCCAATTTTTTGAGCGTGTAGAGGGCCCTCGACAAAAAAGTTATCTGGTTTTTCAGAAGACCACATTCTCATATTCTGTGAGTTTACGTAACCACTTAAATGAAACCAGGCTTCATCAGAAAAAAAGGTGATATTATGAAGTTCACCGTAGTTGTTTAAAAACCATTCACAAAATACAGCCCGTCGCGGAAAATCAACTTCATGAAGTTCTTGCTGACAAGTTAAACGATAGGAGAACAAACGCAAATCTTTTTTTAACACTGTGTGGCAGGTACCGACTGATACTCCCACCATTTGTGATAAAACACGTACAGAAGTTCTTGGCGCATTTTCCATTATTTGTTGGACATTTTCTTTTAATTCTTCAGTCCGCTTTTTAGGTCGGCCGCTTCCTTCTTTTCTTGTTACACTGCCCGTTTCACGAAAAACATTAACACAACGCTGAACTGCACTTTGAAAAATTTTGTACTCAACAACGCCGGGAAATTGATTTTGAAATTCTATGAAACATTCCTCAATAGAATACTTCCATATTCCATCAATCTTGCGTCCATTTCTAAAGTAGGACTCTATGATAAACACTTTTTGTTCTTGAGAAAACACCATTTTAAACGCTTTTTAAAACGAAAATATTCAAATTGATAGCGGCGATATAGCGCTTTGACAGATGACGTTTAAGTTCATTTGCTATACGCTACGCCCTACGTCCAAATTTTCAGAACCAACTTGACCACGTTTTTATTTGAACGCTCGTTATAAAATTCCAGTTAGGCCCAATTTTTGAAACATGTGTTTATTCTAATTCGCCTGGATTATAATGTTGTACATAGTATTATTCTACATTTTATTGTGAAATATGAATATGTAAACTTGATGACTACATACAAAGTTTACATTTTTTATGCTTTTGAATACTCTCCGTTTATCGCTAAATAGTAGTAGACATATTAAGTGGCAGACTCCATATTTCTGTTTTTATTTGATACAGGAATACCTAATTTATACATTATATTTCTAAAAATGTTTATATTGTGCAAAATAATATTTGTATTACACAACTACATATTTGAAATCTAATAAAAATAGATTTTTTTTTCACAGAAGCAGAAAAGGCAAGAGATGCCCTAAACGGCAGATATTTTGGTGGAAGGATGGTTCGAGCAGCACTCTACGATCAGACTTTGTTTGACCATAGTGATTTTTCGGGTTAACTAGTGCTATTGTACATAAAATTGTTTTCTACTGTGTAGGAGTTATCGATATCCGTTAAGTATGAAACTTAGGATATTTTACAATTAACCCCATGGAAAACATTTATTTTCAGATTTTGTTTAGAATTCGATAATTTTTACTATTGAATAGTGTTACAGTTAAAAAAATAAATGAACAATTATATAACAAAGTCAGTAAATAAACTATCCTTTAAATAAATTAGTCACAACAATGCACATCACATATTTTGAGTTTCTTCTGAATGTTACACTATTAGAAAAGTCGTTTACTATGCCTCAGGAGATAAATATTTTTGAAAATTTTGGGACTTCCATTGTGTCCACCTTTTTTTTTGTGTATTGAATTGCTAAACAAAATTTGAACGTGTATTTATTAATTTTTAAGATATAATTTCACTATATTCTGAATTATTTTCTAAGATATGCTTTTTTAATTTGTAAATAAAATATACATATGAATAATTGTTTCAATTTTCTGTTTGATCAAATATACAATCACTATCGTAGTTCACCATATGCGCTTTATTTTAGAAAAGTATAATTTAATATATTTTCAGAGTACCCATTTTTTCGTTTAGTGTCATTGTGCAAGAAAATTGCATAACCTGGTTATAAGTAGTGTTAGTTTATTGCCTTGAATAATTTTAATCAACCTGGCCCTTCATGCATAAAGAACAGAGCGAAAAAAATCCATCGCATATTTTCAAAATTATAAGGATTAACTATTATTTTAGTGTGTCTACTTTTACTTATGTACAAATACAATTTTTTTTTAATTTTAAGTGGCATCGAAAATTACTGCTATGATTTTCTTTATACCCCCGAATTTAAATATAAACCCTTAGCGATTTTTTGTTTATAACCTGATAAGGCGATGTAAACCAGGACCCTCGAAACGAATAGGTGTGAAATTTGAACCAAAACTACAGAGTACGATCTCACAGTTTTAAATGTGTAGAAATCCGTAAAAACTTTGTTCAATGTAATTCAACAAATATGTTTTTGTTTTAAATGGCATAAAAAATGGCTTATACTAATCCTTCCACAGCTTTTAAGATGGCGATCCAAGGCCTGCTATGATTTTCTTTATACCTACCCCCTAATTTCAGTGTAAACACTTAGCGATTTTTTTATTAAATCTGATAAGATGATATTAATCAGGACCCCTGTTAAATTTGAAAAAAAAGCAGCAATCGCTATCTTAAACGCCATAGTTTTTTTTTTTCAATTTTTACAAAAATTGTTTTAAGTGTTTATATTGAAATTTGGGGGTATAAAGAAAATTATAGCAGGCCTAGAATCGCCATCTTAAAAGCTGTGGAAGGATCAGAAGCGGTTTTCGATGTCGTTTAAAATTTAAAAAATGTTGAATTATCTTGAAGAATAAAGTTTTTACGGATTTGTACATAAATAGTAGTAAGTAAAAAGCAGACACACTGTAGATTTGAAATAAGTAAACATTATTTTCTGTAAAACGTTTGTAGTTTCTAAAATCTTTTTTTTTTACTTTAGTCAATGTTACATCACTTCAAAAAAGATTCACTGTAATGACATTTGCATGCTGCTGGATTTTCCGATCAACAAACTATAAGTACCTGATAATAGTGATCCAGGATATTATCCACCATGTAAATTTAAAACACAATTACTAACTTGACCCTTAATCTCAATGGTTGCAATAGTAAATATATGTATATATTATACATATTCAAAATAGTTGCTAATATTACGTATTTTTTATTTACTTATATCAGAAAACTCATGGTCACACTTCTTTTTTAATATTTTGAGTTGAAGCCCTGAAAATACTATACAACTTGCTGTTTCATGTCAAGTTGTTAATAAAACTATTTACAATTTTTTAAAAGCACTGTGTTTAGTTTGTGAATGTGTCAGTGTGGCTGTGTATTTTTATACATGATTGATAATTTACGATTATGACATGAACACACGGTAATTGGAAAAAGAAATTAAAGTTCTTTATTAGCGGTTTCTAAAATCTGCAATAAATTGTTTCCCTTATTTTTCTGAATAGTCGAAAATCAGCTTTGAAATAGTTTTATTTTTAATCAAAACTCCTAAAATCTATTCTACTTTTATATTTAACAAAATAAATTAACTATTTAACACAGTATTACATTTACGTTATGGGTCTTTAACAGGCTTCCCCGGCACAGATTCATATTCAGGTCGTACAGGGAAAGTCTCGATACCCTTCTTCATAGGAACTACTTTGCCAGCTTTAGCTTCGACTGCAATAGCATTCTTTTTCTTTAATTGCATAATTGCTAAATTTTTCATAACTTCCTCTTCGCTTGGTGGTTCTTTTCTTCTTCCTCTCAACCAAGCTTCCCACTCTGCTGGCATCTCCTGCATAAAATCATCCTTTTCTGGCGGATCAAACCATCGACTGGCTTTTCTTTTACCACTAGAGGGATTTGCTGGTATTTCATAATACTTATTGCCGAAATAATCTGTTCCCATTAAATTTCCTCGAAATTGTCTGGGTTTAATGGAATTCAAGAAGTTTCTTATTACCATTGCCCAGATACTCCTAGACGGGGGTTGAGCCATGACCAAAATCACTTATCTAAAAAATTTAGATTCCATAAATCAAAATTTGAATGAAAGCTGCACTATATATTTTATGCAAATCTGATAAAAATTTTATTCATAGCAAATACATTTTTTACCTGTCAATGTCCTTAAATCGTTAAAATATGCCAATATTCAATATTTTCACAATTTTACGTTTTTAAATTTAACATTTAGGTTGATGGATTTTATTTTGAGTTTGAGATTTAACATAATCACAATAACAAAACAAGAGACGAGTGACAAGGACAAGACATGCGCTACAAAACATAAGCTGGTTTCTGCTTCTGTGTTCTGTAACTTAATTCTTAATTTACACTGTTGTCAAAATTTGTTTTAATATTTATTATTATTTCTATTATTTTAATATTTACCCATCGGCAGCAACAGGGGCAGCAAGGTGTCGAAATTCCTCATAAAAAGGCAATTCATTAATTAAACCATTACGATATGGTAATAAATGTAGTAAATAATAATGTTAAACGCATAATTTATCAAATATTAATTCATCGATCATCGCAATTCTCTCTACTCTCTGGATGCTGACGATTTACCAACACAAAACAAAGAATATTAACGTATACGAGGGTAATTCACAAATGATGACAAATAACGAAACTTCGTATTCTTTGGTGAATTTTAAGGGGAGTCTTTCCTATAATGGAGTTTTTATCTAGGACGCTTAATTAAAAAGATACAAGGCGTTAAACTTCAAACTAGTAAGTGAAATAATTTGAAATTGGGCACGTATTTATGTAAACATTGTCTAAAATCTGAGAACTTTTCCTAAAATTTACATGCTCCAGTGGCGGAGATACAGGATATCGGTGGCATATTTTTCTATATAAAATAGTACGCCACTGCTTTACGGTAACAACCATGATATTTTCGGATTCGTCTTTCAATTTTCTACAAATTACTACTCTCTTGTTTTTTGAAAAAAGCATGATTTTCGAGTAAAAACGAACTGAGAACACATTTTCGATATTTTTTGTCTTTGACATTCTGAGCAGTTAGAAGAAAGAATAAAAAATAATGCTTTTCATCAGATTCAATAAGCAACAATAAATTTTGAACAAATTACATTTTCGTTACTAAAAAGATGTCGGGCCTGTGTTCCTGGAAATGGGAATATTTTTGAGCATACTCAAATAAAATCATTAAAATGCTAATGCTATTTAATGTTATTAATTTCTATATTCAAATAAATAACCGAATGATTAGTGCTTGTCATCTCATTTAAGTAAAACTGTTTTCACTGAAGCTATCTGAATATTTCGATCGACACCCTTTTCTTATGTATTATCACAGACAAAATAGCTATCGCAAAGCTATATTGTCTATGGTATTATATTTATTATTTACATTACCGTAACCATAACGTATTTAAAACTGCAAATTATCTCTTTTAAATAGTACGTATAGCTGAGCCATGAAAAATTAAGCCTATTTCAGAACGGAAACAATCTTAGTTTGTGACTGGATTTTTCCATTATTTCTAAACTTTGCATTTGTGAGGGCCGTGTCAGGCTATCTTTCCATTTATATGATCAAAATAATTATTCCATTATTCCATGGCTAGGAATTGGCCTCAATGATTTGGGATCGAGGGGGATTATCCCTCTTTATCCTGCCTTATCTCGTGTAGGCCTGGACAGCCTTCGTAGGTGGGCCCCATCCGTCGTCTACCTCGACCGCAAATAATGCGGCCGGTGAAGACCTCCTTTTGTCCTGGCTGGGCCCCGCCGGCTAGGGCCCTTTCTTCTGGCACTGTTCTTGCTTCGCCGGCTCGTCTGTATAAACCCCGGGGGTGGTGTCATGTTTTGGATATAAATGGCTTTAGGTCGTTTCCGAAATCAGCGATTCAATTGTAGGTATTACCTTACCCTAGAATCCCTAGATCTAAGGAATAACTGCTAAACCTGACAATAGTGCGCCATTATTCCATGGTTAGAAATTGGCCTCAAAATAGTGGCAATATTAGAGTTTATTTTTCGTGATTCTCTCTGTAAAAAGTACGTTCATATATTTACTTGATCATATAAGTACAAGCAGTTATCTAATTTTTTTTAATTTTTAAAAACTGTTATTATTGTATTCAGTACATTTAGCAATGGATCTGCCATCGGTCAGAAGCTTACAGATTTAAAATTACTCTACATTTATGGAGTAAAACATGTTTAAAATTTAGGAATATAACATAAGTACTACTGATAAAATTCTTATATACAACTATTTAATATTTATAAAGCTAACTAATACTTCGTTCTTTATTTATCAAATTGTATACCTACTTATAAAAGAAAATTAATCATTTGTTAATATATATTCATTCATTCAAGAGAGATAGATATATGTAACTCCAAGTACGTACTTTGGCAAATTCTGAACATACCCATGATGTCATTCACAGGCGTGGTGACTCAAGAGGGGGACGGGGTTTGGTCTCGGTTGGTTTAGGTAAAAATTGGCATGGCTGACCGCAGTTAGAAGATGAATATACACAAATCTAATAAAAATAATTTGATTAAAGTACTTAGTGTTTATTTACAATTCCGCAGTCTAATTTATTACAATTTGTAGTGACTATTTTGAAACTGTAAGTAAAATACTATTTTAGTTTTGGCAATAAGACAGGTTGCTGGCCATAAACTTGTAGCTCTGACATTTCCTTTCACTAGTCATGGGATATTCAATTTATTAAAATATGGTTTATGGTATTTGAAATCTCTATTATACAGACAAAATTTTCCCTACTTACATGTGTACAGTAAATGTCAGCATATTCCACTTCTCACATTATAGCAGTTTTATTTACCTACTCCACTTTTTAAGATGTCCATGAGTATAGCACATATTTACATTAAAACTAGTTATATCGAAAAAGTAAATAAACTGTTTTATTATAGGTAGTGTAAACTTTTCTTTGAAAATGAGGAGAAGAAAATAATTGATCATCATGGGAGATATCCGCCAACAATTTTTGTTATGATGTAGTACTGTGAATGTATTATCTTTAAATAGTATTGCAGAAACTTTATATAATAATGTCGTTTTTTAACAATATTAAAAAAGTGCTCCATTTTGGAGGTAATGATGCCAAGAAGAAAAAAGTGTATAACAATGTGCGTATGGATTGTGATCCTGAAGAATTTTGGGACATGATAGGGGAATTAGGTGATGGTGCGTATGGAAAAGTTTATAAAGCGCAAAACAAACACACGGGCCAACTGGCCGCTGCTAAAATGTGTCGTTTGGATGGAGAAGACGATCTGTCCGACTTCATGATCGAAATTGATATTTTATCAGAGATTAAGCATCCAAATATTGTAGCATTACATGAAGCTTTTCAGAAGGAGCAACAGCTGTGGTTGTTAATTGAATACTGTGATGGTGGAGCTTTAGACAGTATTATGACTGAATTAGAAAAACCTTTAAATGAACACCAAATTGCTTATGTGTGCCAAAATATGTGTAAGGGTTTGCAGTTTTTACATAAATCTCATGTTATCCATCGTGACTTAAAAGCTGGCAATGTGCTTTTGACTATGGCTGGCGGAGTCAAATTAGGTATGTGATTTTTTTTTTATATATATATATATATATATATATTGTAAAAGTAATATTAATACAACTAAACTTATTTAGGTATATGAAATGTTATCTTATAATCTCGAGCAACCTAAATATTAATTTGACCAAAATTTTTTGTTGTCACACTGTCACATACTATTGAGAAAATCAATGCTTTCAGAACAAAAATGTCTGAAGTACCTAAGTTATATTTATATGATGGAGAAATAGTGAAAATTATCAAAAAAAATTAAAAAACAAAAAATTTCAATTACATCAAGAGATTGGAAAAATATGGAAGATAAAAATTAGGTATAAAATTGGACATTGCAAGGAAAATATAATAATAAAAATAATGTACCATTCATGTTTGTAAAATAAAAATACTAAGTATTAGAACATTAATTTCTAATGTAAATTTTATTTTTATTGTTTTATGTGGACAGTATAATCAGTTAATATTTATTTTTACCAAATTGAAGCGGCTGGAGTAAATTATTTCTATATGCTTATCTTATATCAGTATGGATTTATAGAATAACTTTAGGGGATTAAGATAAATCTGAAATTATTCTAATGTAATTTTATTATAAAAATCTGTAATGCCATTAATATTTTTTATTAGGATCCAGCATTTACTAATTTTATCGCTAGTACTACATTGTTAAAAAATTAAATTCTAATTACTTAAGTATTTACTCATTACATGAAGTGATTATTAAATAACTAATTTCTTGTAATATGTATTTTAAGGTTTGATATTTAAATGTATCGATAAAAAAGAAATGCATGGATTTTAAATTAATTTAATCCAATCTTTACGTGCTCTTTGTATATACACAGTGTGTTGATTTAAAACAATGTGTCTTTGTTCCACATCCTCTAAAATTTAGAAACTCCAAATTTCATGAAATAATTATTGTCAATAACTTTATTACGAAACTAAAATACTAAAAAATTATAGTTGGTTATCTAGGGAGCTTTGGAATTAAATGAAAAGTGTAGAAATAGGTGTCAAACTTATCTTCTTATCTTGGTTCAGCCATTCATTCTTATATGAAGGATACAATTAAAAAATTTAAGTGGACTGTTCTCCCCCATCTACCCTTCAGACTACTACAAGTTGATTTTGGACCTTAAGGGTTTTTAGTGGAGAAACATGTTCATTCCAGTTGCCTCAATGCATTCAAAAGAAAAAAGATTATACAGAGAAACAACATTAATAATTTACTGTTTTTTTTATTAGTTTGTTATTAATTAAATTATAATTAAATTTGAACACCTCTCATACTTAGCTGACTTATATGTTAATAGATACTTACTCAGGCACTGTTTTCTTGCACTAAAATTAGGTACATATTCCATTACCTACTTTCAAAAAATAATAATGAATAAGCGCCTGCTAATTAAGAATTGCAGCCCCAACTACAGCCTGTTTTAAACTATTTCGGTGATTGCGGAGCAGATTGTGGGACTGCAGACAAAAATGCGGAGGATTGTGAACGATTTCCTCCAGAAAGAAAAATATACATTGCTTACTACCTCGGTCAACAAATTATAAACAAATTACGTGTACCACAAAAAAATTAGTCCTATTTAGAATAGTCTTATAAAAATGCATTATTTTAATTTTATCTTTAATATCTCTATAATAGCGTGATAGTGGTGAAAACTTAGTACCTAAGTAGTAAATACCTATTCATCGAAATGTTTCAGATGAAACATCGAAATGATTTTTTTTATAAAAGTATTAACCGTCAGAAATGATTTGTTGGAACTAGTATACAATTCATGTTGACTTATGTATTAAAATTGAATTGTTGGAGGTTAATTGAGGGTTAATTAATGTATATATAATGTAGGTCTTAGGTCAAATTGGAATTTAACTGTGCTGTGTGACTCATATTTTTTATAAAGGGTATGGATGGTATTAATATGTTTGATTATGTTTTCATTAGAAATATTATTAACATTTCGTTAATCCACAAATTTTACAATAGAAGCTAATATTTGCAAAGAATTTGATATTTGTATATGAATTAGATATGATGTAAGTAGATACAGGTAATTTTATGTAAACTACATGGAATGAGTTAACAGAATTGTAGTAAAAAAAATGCTGACAATTTTATATACTTTTAGCCTCTCCAAAAATGTAAAAAAATACTACAATTCAATAAAAAGTAATTGCAGTATAATTTAGCTTAATTAAAAATGGATAGAGCTTGTTTAGAATTCAATGCAAATTAAATGCTAATAAACCAAGGATCCTGTGCCATATAACGAATCTGGAAAATGATTGTGCTAAACCTTCATTTTTATTTTTGAGGTTGTGGTAGATAATAAAATCCTATTTATAATATTAATCAAAGTATTGCCTTAAAACTGCCGCCTGCATATGTGCAAATAAAAATAACACACTGAACATTTCCTTTTATTAGTTTTGAATAAATATGATAACTAATAGTAAGTTTTTCAAGGTTAAATTCCTTAACTTTGCACGTTATCAAATTTTTACACTTGTTTCTATTATATGTTGTAGTTCATTCCTAGTGTTTATTCGTTAAAAAAATATAAACTATTATAATTTTTAATCACATTTATCCATTTTAACAGCAAAACATTAATGGTTAACTGTATAAAAACATACATCTTACTAATATGTTAGCATTTAAACATCTACAATGAAACTAGAAAAACTTTAATTTAAATTCCGATTTATTTTAGATTTTATTAAAAATTGTAAATATTTATTTAAATTATAAATTATGTTAAAATGCTTTCACATCATGTATGCCACAACTCTTATCTTATAGTTTTAAGCTGTTAAAGTGATCACAAGTTTATGTTTTAAATTTACCTTTGCTAAATTTTCAAATATTTATGCAATTCATAGATCACATAAATGTTTTCTTTTTTCTATATAATTTTATGCTATATATAGGCTAAGAATTATTCAATTTCAACAAACAAAATTAAAAATACAGTGTCTTTTAACGAAGCCAACAATCTAAAATATAACGCTTTTATTTACGTACAAGGTTACAAGGTGTTTCAAGCTGAAATTAAAGGAAAATAATTTCATTTCAGTAATTGCGTAACCAATTAACTAATTATTTTCAAATTTGACATGAAATATGCCAACATGACTCACTGTACATGCAATTTAGCTCAATATGTACCTCCAATGATGTACCATTGTCATAACCACACAGCTTTACAAAATACTGAGGCTGTGAATTAATTTTGAGGGATTTACAAAAGCTCTGTCATTAGGCTTTACTTTTTATTATGTCAGTTTGCTGAAGTGTAAACAACATATTTTTTGTCAGCTCAGAAGATGTCGAATTGCAAGCAAAAATACCATTTGTGGGAAGTTTTACTTTTCCTGTTTAATTCAAAGAAAAGTGCTGCTGAAAGTCATCGAGTGCTTTTGGAAACTTACGGTGAACATACTCCATCGATAAAAATGTGTGAATATTGGTTTCGACGTTTTAGAAGTGGTGATTTCGATACTGTTGACAAAGAATGCCCAGTCAACTGAAAAAGTTCGGAGATGAGGAATTGGAAGCCTTACTCGACCAAGATTCATGTCAAACGCAAGATGAACTTGCTGAATCGTGGAATGTTGATCGCACAATGGTTTCCAAACGTTTAAATGCACTTGGTATGATTCACATGTAAACAATTGCTCCAACGGCAAAAAAGAAAGTTTTTTTTGCATAGTATTGTCACTGACGATGAAAAAAGGATACGCTATGATATTCCTAAGTGTAGAAAATTGTGGGGTTTGTCTGGTCATGCATCAACATCGACGGCAAGGCCGAATATTCATGGCCTGAAGCTCATGCTCTATATTTGATGGGACCAGCTTCATGTTGTGTAGTATGAGCTGTTCAACCAAATGAAACCGTCACTGGTGAATGGTATTGAACACGATGCATTTGAGCCGTGCATTGAAAGAAAAACAGCCGCAATTTGAGCAAAGGCACGATGACAACGCTCGACCATATGTTGCTCATGAAGTCAAAAAATACATAGACACTTTGAAATGGGATGGTTTACCCTATTCGCCATGCTCGCCAGATATTGCTCCATCAGTTTACTAATTGTTTCGATCCATAGAACACACCTTGGGTAAGCAGCACTTCCACTTTATACAAAGTACGAAGATATGGGAAATTGGATCAATTGGTGGATAGCATCAAAAAATGAGTTGTTCTTTCGATGCGGAATCCGTATGCTACCAGAAAGATGGGGAATGGCAGTGGTTCGCGATGGACAATGCTTTGAAAAATAATAATGTACACAATTTTTCACAATCAAGCCTTGATATTACAAAAAAATCCCTCAGAATTAATTCACAGTCCTAGTATATTACGCCAAAAAAGAAAGAAAACTACACAAATAATAAAATATTTTCAAAATATTCCCTCCCTTCCTGTACATAATTTCTAACAGGTCGTGCTATTGCACTTCATGCCAAATTTGTAGATGGTAGGCTCATTGGATTTGCAGTTACAAAAATATTTTCTTTAATTTCATCTTAAAACCCCTGTAACTTGCAAATAGAGCCAGTTTGTAAGAAGGTTGTTCAGCCCAGGCCTGAAGGTAGTGTTTCATTCATTTATATACACCCTCTATAAATAAAGTCTTGTATCATACTCTAAATTCTACATGAATAACAGATGTTTTAGATTTATCTGATTTAGTTAACACAGATATAAAATTTTTATTCTAATTTATTTAAAATTCATAGCGATTTAAATGCCAAATTCATAAGGTGCCAACTAATGCACATAACTGATGTAGGTATAACTAGTATGTATAAAAGAATTAATCGTATGTATTACAAAGCAGAATAATCTTTTTTGCATACATTTGCATAATTAAAGTTATTTTTGGTGGTTATTTATATGTTTTAAAGAATATTTATAATCCTTAATAGGTTTTATTTTTCAATTATTACACTTTTATTATGTGTTTTATATTAGAAAATATTATTGACTTAAAATTATAATATGTGCCACATGCATATTTTATGACAGTCTCTTGACTACATGTATAATATAGTAGGAATTTTTTTATTGATATTGCAAATTAAAGATTACATGTAAGAATAGATATATTAATAGTCCACAGTACAGCCCCCTCTTGGAAAGTTGATTACCACATACTTTATAACTCGTGAGGAGCTTCGTTTTGGCGAGTCAACTTTTCCTCTGCGACTTTTCTCGATTCTTCCGCTTTTCCGCTCGGAAAAGTCCAATAACATGTCAATTTCCCAGGGTCTTGAAAAGTCAAGACCACATCTTTTTTGTTTTAGCTTAAGTTACTTGAAATTTTGTTGCAAATGCCGATTTAAATTTGTCCGATAGAAATTTTTCCGACATTGACATGTCTACCGGCCGAAACATACCAAAATGACAGGGTATTGAAAATCAATTACCACATAGGTAATTTTTAGTAAAATTAATTGTAAATAATTAATTCAGTCAAAAAGTATTGTTGTCCGACAAATTTCAAGCCGCGTTTTTTCAGTCCGACAAATGTATACAGGGCGTAACTAAAATAGGGTTACAAACTTCGCCAGCAGATAGGACACTTAAAATTAGTAGGGGTACTTCATATAAAATTTTTGCCTAAAGCACTTCATTGGTGAGATACAGGGTGTTGAAATTGAAAAAATAAATGACATTTTCTTTAATATCTTTCAACTACTTCGAGCTAATTTCGTATCCGGTGGTTTTTGGGATGAGAACTTCAAATTTATCGACGATTTCGTTGTACCTTCTGGAGGGCGCCACAAGCGACCATTAAGAAGCATTTAAACTGACAAAACTTTTTTGTGCCACGGCGTATTTCACTTTGGGCTTTAAAAATCTTTTCTTCCAACTTTTCTGCTTAATAAAGGTATACCTTGCTAAAATTATTACTATTAAAGGAAATATTATTTATTTTTTCAACTCCAACACCCTGTATCTCACCAACGAAGCACTTCAGGACGTCTATTCTTGAAATCAAGAGAAGGGAGCTATCCCTGGGAGCTCCAGAGGAGCGTTCCCTCATTTGAGCTCCCCCACAGAAAAACACCGAATTCTTGAAACCTCAAACGCACCGAGGTGCATCAGGGAGGGAGCAAAATCGGGGAACAGCGTTGCCGGTTTGTTCGACCAATGAAATTGCAGAAAACTGACAAAACACAGAAAAACTTCACTTTTATTTTGACAATTTAATATAAATTTGTGGAGATCGAAAAATGAATTTACCTTTGCTTAAAACAAGGCAGTTGAGTCAGAAACAGAAAGAAGTGTTAGTTAATTTTGTGTACGCACGACCAGACATGTATAAGGGCAAATTAACCGGCACTTATACGAATACGATAAGCGTGACATTGTGGAAAGAGGCAAGTAATATATTAAATGCTATTCCAGAAGGGGCCACTAAAGACTGGAAACAGTGGAGAAAGGTCTGGGGCAAAACATCTCTTCTAATAGCGAATTCTGCCACCGCTTCCTCAACATCCTCGTTAATAATGTCATTCCACAGCATTAAATTTAAGTTTTCCATGTTTATTTTCGATTTATGTAATTAACATGTTCAAGTCATTTGACATTTTATGTACTTCAAAAATAAACAAAAACAGACAATTTTAGGTTAGATTTGCTATTTCCCTCAGTCTCTAGTAGGAGAACTTTAAGTTCTCTTGGGAGTAGCTCCCTCCCTAAATATTTTTTCAAGAATACCCTGTTGTGCATTTTTAAGAGAACCACGCCCACTTCCCTCACAAGTTCTACTCCCTGAAATTCAAGAATAGACCACCAGGTAAAAATTTTATATGAAGTACCTGAAGTCCTAATTTTAAGTGTTCTATCTGCTGGCGAAGTTACTTATTTTTGTGATGCCCCGTATAAACAATTTTAAAATAAATAGGTATGTCAGAATTGTTTGAAATATACTATTTTATAGAATGAAGTAGTGTGCATAATTTGAAGTTTTTTGCTTTTTTTTAAATCTCACTACAGAGTTACAGGACACATCAAGTTTTCATCAAAATATACTTTATCTGTAATTTATAAAAGATAGGGGTCAATTCTAGTTGCTGAATTGTCCGCTTCTCAAATATTTATTCATTATCTTCTATTTCTTTTTTTTTTGATATATTAAATTTTATTTACAGCGGACTTTGGTGTCTCAGCAAAAAACAAAAGCACTCTTCAAAAGCACGACACCTTCATTGGTACTCCATATTGGATGGCGCCAGAAGTCGTACTCTGTGAAACGTTTCGGGACAATCCATATGATTACAAAGTAGATATTTGGTCAATGGGCATAACTCTAATTGAGTTTGCTCAAATGGAGCCACCAAATCACGAGATGTCTCCTATGAGGGTGTTATTAAAAATTCAGAAATCCGATCCGCCCAAATTAGAACAACCTTCAAAATGGTCTAAGGAATTTAACGATTTTATATGTAAGGCTTTAATTAAGGATCCTCAAAAACGACCCACCTGTGATGAATTACTCAAGCATCCGTTCATTAACTGTACTCTAGACTCGAAACCTCTTCGTGACTTATTGCTAGAATATAAAGCTGAAGTCGTTGAAGAAGAACTTACTGATGACGATCCAGAAGTAAGTTACATATTTTTTAGACAAATTTTGTATAATTGTATCATAGTTTTTGTTTCTTTTGTATCTATATATGACTCGTTAAATGTCAGAGCATCTTTCTTTATATTGATTCAACATCAGATTATAGTCCTTAGATAATGGGTCTGTCACGTTTTATATTTATATAAAAGAAACAATTTTTTTCTGAATAATTTTATGAGTACACATTTTCTTCTATAACTTCTGAGCTTTTGTAAATATTTCATGCTTAGCGTGGTAGGAAACATCGAAAACATAAAGAGCTTTATCAAAGAATTGGTAAGTTAAAAAATAATAACGGAGTATTAATGATTGTTAGACCCTTTTATTTAAAATAAAACAAAAAATTAAAGATCACTCACTTCCCCTTATAGTAAAAAGTACTCCATTTTTATATAGTTAACTAAATTCTCGGTGTTGTTATCGCTATTTATTATTTTACTCGTTTAAATGTTTTAAATTTTGTTGTTACTGTTAGTGATAGAAGGATGTGGACTTTGGTATTAACCATATGAGAATTTACAGTTGAATTGAAAATTAAGAAATTAAGTATGTAAGAATGAAATATGATTAATTGTAGGAAAATTTTTATTTATTGATTATTTTATTTCAGCACATTGGCCATAATAAAAAAAGTTTGCATATCTTTTATGTTTAAAAATTCTCACCGATAGGCACTATTTTTGCCTTATCTTTCAATTTATACTGTACTCTGTCCTCTTTCATAGACTCTAGTAGTAGATATACTTTAGGACGGCCAGGTTTTGAGATATTTATATCCTGTTAGATAATATAGTGTAGCTGTGTTGCAATACTTATCTTTGATTTGCTGGTATTTCAGTTGCTGATTTAAGTTGAAAAAATTGGTGTTATTCATACTAGTGTTAATAGAGTACATTTTGGTACGGATTACGTCAGTGGTATTCAACCTTTTTTTCCCCGAACTTCAAAAATTTTTTTACATACAAGTACTCTCTATCTTAAGCATTAGTATAATCAGAATTGCAATAAATATACTTTAGTTTTAGTAAAGGGTAATAGAGAGCCAGAGGTTATGGTTAGAGTTTTGATAATGGTAAATATGTTTTTTTGAAGTTGTTTGTTCTAGTGCCTAAGTTTATTTCAGTTCCTCTTTATTAATGGGTATTTTGCCACCCGCACAAAAATTTTTTAAAAATCTGAAATATCGCTCCAAAAGGATGTCGAGAGTTATTTTTATAATAAAAGTTTTGACTAATCAATAATATGATTCCGGTAAAAGCGGACAAATACAAAAAACATCACTCAGGCACTTATTGGCATTTCGAAAATAATTGTTTTCGTCTTCTGGTCTGATAAAGACTTTTCATTTTAAATTTTAAAGTAACTTTAGACAATATGCCTACATTAGTACAATATTTAGATTGGAATTTTAACAGATTAATTAAAAATAAATGAAAAATTTAAGCTTTCTTATTAACACACAAATTTTTAGTATATGGCTGAACGTTAATAAGTGGGAGAATATTAAAGGAGAGAACGCATTAGGCGGTCACGGTCTCGTTACATCACGGTCCGTTCTGGTCTGAGCTGATCGTGGTCTTTTACAAAATCAGTCTCATTTGGCAATCGTACACAATCCTGCTCGCACTCTTCAGTAAATAGTTGAGGTATTGTTTTAGTAGTTAAAAAAATGAGTTACATGGAAGAGGAAGCTCGTCTCGATCGCATCACGGTCTCCCGAGATTCTTTGGAAAAGATCGGTGGAGAATGTGATGCGAGCGAGACGAGCTCGGGAACGTCTAGTGCGAATGCATACATTATAAAACATGGGAAGAAACCACACCGTGTGCGATCGAGACTAGCACGGTCTGCGATGCGACGGGACCGCGACCGCTTAATGTGTCCTCTCCTTAAGGCTTCTGGATTAAGCTAATTGTGTTTTTTATTTTTTAAATGAACAAATAAAAACTATATAATATTGTCAAATACTGGAAATTGATTGAACTATTGAATTACCGATTAACATACTTTTTTTGCCTCTATTTATCTACCTACCCTCAGAGATCCCTTCGTGTACCCCTTAACATCGTCATATACCCCTAGGGGTATACGTATCCCTGGTTGAATACCACTGATTTACGTTATATGGTGGTATTCTACAAAGTCCACATAATCGTTTTACTCTTTGATTGAATGCCTTCAAAAATAGTTGGAAAATATTTTAGAATATTTATATACAGGGTTTAACGTGTACATGAGGAATATGTTCCTCGTCCAAATTTAAGAACATCTTTTTTATATATACATGTACTCTTGAGACCACCAGTCCTTAAATATCTATTAACCATTTAAATAATTCTAAATTTATCTAAACACTCATCTTTACAAATTGCTAATTTGTACCAATTGGTAAATACTGGAATGAAATCGTCAATGTTCAAAATAAAATTTGCATATCAAAAGTAATAAGAAACATTTTTATAATCACTGTATAGAGCTGGCTAGTCTTGGATTACAATGCAGTGAATAGTGGGAGCTATTTTTGTAGAGCCCATTTCTCGGGATATTCTACGTGATTTGTGACATGATTTCGCCAAACTTCCCTTAAGAACGCAATTTATATCCCTTTCTCCTAAACACTAATATTTTATATACCATAATGTTGACTGATACACAAAATGTTTTATTTTATTTTGAAGTAACTGTTAAAACACCATTGTAGAGTATATTGTCCGTAACTTCTTGAACAAAAAAAGTGTTATTGAAAACTACCTGTTTTCAAATCCAGCCTTCAACAATTCTATGCCACATGCAAAAAACAGTTACTTTTTGTGTCAGTTACATAAATAACTATTTTTTCTAATAGTATGTAATAGTTTTTGAGAAAAACATTACCAGCATCCCCTCATATGTACAAGTTTAAACTGAGATTTAATATTTTCTTGGAGGATGCTATTCTCTGTATGTATTGTGCACACAGAATTGTGTTTCAATTTCCTTTGTTCTGAAGATATTTAGACATACAATATATACATGTTATTTTAAATTTTGACTCCTTGTATTTAAAAAACGGGGGTTTGGACGAGGAAACTGCTGCATTTTTGACAGGTTGTTGTGTTACACTCTGTATATACATATAAAATTATGTTGAATAATATTCGAATATGCTTTCATGAATAAAAATAATAATCTAATTTTATTTAACTGTATATTAAATTTAAAATAAGCAGGATTAATTTTCCTAATGCAACATATACTTCAGTATAATAATAATTAAGTAGAATTTTTGAGATGTTTTTTCTTATAAATAAATTTATTTGCTAAATGATATAAATTTTAATAGCTATTAAAAATCTATCATTTTATTGATCGATAGCTAAATAATTGGTCATATAAGTTAATGTTCACTTAAACTTAAAATATATCACCTTGATTACACTTTTTTTTTTGTAGTTTTTATTACATGTCACTAAGCATGAGATTGCATATTTTGTATATTTGATTTAATGGTTCGTTGTCAAAAAGGTTTTAAAAAATATGTAAAATTTTATAATAGTTTCAATAATAATATAAAGTGTAATATATTCATTGTAGAATTTAACTCATATATATTTTTTTTATTGATCTGTTACTGTATTGAGTGGGCGGAGAAAATCAAGTTATTTAAAATAGCTTTCTGCTTCTTTTTGATTATGATGTAAAGTCTGAGCTAACTTGAGCATTTTTGATGGGTTTCTTGTATTTTTTGAAGACATTGACAAAATAATAATTATTAAAATTATTTTACATTACCCTCCAAAAGTGCCGAAATTGGCCCACCGTGTATATGACTAGCCCTTGCAATTATACAATAATGATTTCTAATAAACTTAAGTCAGGATTAATTCAAATTATTAAAAATATTTGTTGATTTATTTAAATATATCTGCCATATATTTTTGACATTCAGTAAATTCAAAAATTAAAAAAGTTTCTGTCCATCCATTGTTATGATTAAATTCCTCATACAAAGTATTTAAAAAACTCACCAAAATTAAATTTGATGTTATCATGGCTTGTTTGTTATGCATGCGGCTCTCCGGGTCCTCCTTTACCTGGCATGCTTGCTCAGGTGAGATGTTGATTGATGTTCCTTATGTAGTTTTTGCTTCTAGCTTACAGAGAAACTTTTAGAATTTTTGCCATCTTAACTAATATTAGAAACCTTTACTTAAAATTTTTAAAAGTTAACTAGGGATAATTATCCGTAGTTATCTACTAAACATTTTTTAAGATAATGAATTTATATTAAATTAATTGTTTATGCAAGGAGAAAATATAAAACATTTATCTTCTACTGTTAGCAATATTGTCTTTTTGGTAAAATTGATCCTGAAAATCTTTCAGGACAATCGCACCTCCCAAATTCCTCTGGATATAGAAGATGACTCTACTTCCATACAAAGCAACGAAGTTGATAATAAAGGTAAGGGTTTTGGCGACAGTAATAACCAAAATGTGTTCTACAGTTTTCTAAATCACTTTAAAATTTTATGATATTCCAATTTTAGTTTTTGTATGTCATATTAGCATCGAAATTGTAGAGTAAATGTGATAGCAAATGATGTGATTATAATGTGTATCAGAATTCACGTGAATCACTATTTAATACTGACAGTGCAAACATTTTTTCTATGTGAATATACATGGATTTATATTTTAATTCATTTTATAAATATTTCTATATTTTTGGTCAAAATAATTTTTTTTTCTGGTGTCTGACCAAACACCTTAATAACATTCATCCTTTCGCTGCTGGAGACGTAAGATCCGGTAAATTATTTATGATCTTATGGTGTGGGAGATATATTTTTTCACCTGTTGGTCTCAGGTACTGGACTGCGGCAAGCGGATGATTATTATGTTGAATATACTTAGCACATGCGTTAACTTTGTGTAACTTAGCACATGCGTTAACTTTGTGTAAGCGCCTGCGGTCCCCACTCTTTTACATTTTGTCTTGTACAGACATGTTGGAGTGCATGAACATTTTATGCGGTTGTTTACGTTTATTTACACATTCATTGTGTTATTTTGTTTTGACGATTTATTAGGTGACTTTGCATTACAAATATGCCTTAACATACCAAAAAGTACTATAATGACCAAGGATTATATAACATTTTAATGAATAGCGACGATAGTGACTTTGAATATATAGAATCAGCACATTCGATTTCAAATCTTGTTCAAGTTGTTCAAATAACGACTTAGATGAAAATGAAAATAAAGATGAAAATTATAAAATATATGAACCAAAAATCTCATTCTATTTTTTATATATTTTGAATAAAACAGGTTTATTTTTCCAAATGCTTTCCACTTTTCTTGTCAAACAATCCTAGGCGCACAGTATTGGTGCGTTAGCCAATAATTTTTTATTCACGTGTTGCAACTACGGGAAGCGTACATATCCGCGAAATGTCTTTATGGTTCAACTGCGAGAAACGGACGAATATGCATAGGCTGCCAAATGCCACACACAGCACGGTATGCAAATCCACGTCCCACAGTGAAAGGGTTATTAATTGCTTAATAATGTTTAATAAAATAGAAATTCCAAATCATAATCATCATAACATAATTGCTATGTCCAGTCGACTAAAAAAATTACAATAAATTTTTCTGATTGCATAATCAAATTACCAATTTAAATTTAAATTTTGTGTACTTTACCTGCAAATACAATATTTTGATAATCACTGATATCTCATACAAGTCAATTGAAAGGATATGAAGACAGCATCATTCCCATTTGGGGGTGATGATATTTTAGTTAAAGTATCAAGGTCAAATAATTTGGCTGGCAGATTTCATTCATAAATTAACTCGCCGTCGCTGCTGATCTGTCTGTACTGTGACTAAGGTTGATAGGCCCTGCACTGGTCGACTACAATATTATTGGTCATGTAAGGAGATACAAGTAGCTCTTGAAAAATTTAAATTTCAGGAATTCAGAATGAATTTAAAGAGAATTCACAAAATTCATATGAATTCATATATTCCTAAGTTCATCAACAGTGTACACCTGTGTTCACTAATGCTTATCCCCTTGTAATTGTCATTAATAACTCGTTTATTTAGTGTCACTATGGACGCAAATATTTCGCAAACTCAATTACTCTATGCCTACTTTTATGTCGACTGTTGATTCGTTGTGTTTCATTATAGTCGAGTTATTGCATCCATATAGTACTCATGGATGTAAAATAATAAGACTTTTAAAGTGACACTTTTCGTGATGAATGTAAAACTAAAAAAAAATTGTTAACCACTGTCATCATTATTACTAGTTACAAATGTTTTCTCTTATTAAAATTTAATTAATCACAGCAGCGGAGCCTGAACAGCCTGTTCAACCCAGTGAAGAAAAAGAAGTCAACGAACCTTCTGTTTTCGATGAGAATGCTGTGGATATATCAACTTCTGTTGTTGCTGCTTCACCAAATGAAAAGAAACAGGTAAGATTTATATTTCTGTATAACAGTCACAGAGGCATTCATATGTTCTATTATTCAGCCTGAAAAGAAAGAGGAAGTGCAAAGAAAAACATCTCGTGACAAAGGGAAAGCACCACCGCCCCCACCTTTACAAAGCCAGCAGTCTACTTCGTCATCGTCTTCTGACAAAGACAAAGGACCTGCTCCACCTCCACCAGTCATCATACCCCCATTGCCAACTCCTCCTTCGTCTCCTATGACACCCCCTGATACCCCACCTAGTTCTAGTCCGCTTCGAGTAGTAGATATTCCACTGCCACCCCCTCCACCGCCACTTCCAATGGTTGTCGAGCCTAAACCGAGCTCGTCCAAAGTGGAAGAGAAAGTAGATAAAAATCGTGATGTTACAGATGACATTTGTTCTTCATCTGTCAACGTCTCCGAAATTAGACGGGCGCTCGAGAAGCAACTTAATAAGAGGCTTTCACAAGAGAAGGTGCAACCATTCGAGAAAGTCAGTGATGTCGTTACTGTTACTAGTTCCAGTGCAACCACACCCGATGACAGTTTGAATTTCGTCGTTGTCTCTACTCCACAATCCGAGAGAAACAAAAATACTTCGATGATAACTATTAATTCAAATCTTCCGGACACATCCAACAGTTTAGCTTCAAATATAAGTCAAGTAAGTAACGGAGTAGGATTTTGTGATTTAATAATGTTTAGGGTGTTACACAAATTTAGGCCCGAGCTGCTGTTAACCACAAATACCTTGGGTGCGAGTAATAGGATGTCAATAACCCTTCTAAAACTTGGAAGTTTTTTAGCATACTATTCTTATGTCAGCACATTTTTTGTGCAATTTTTAATATAAAAAAAATGAAGCATGAATGGAGGAAAGAGTTAGTACTCATTGACCCCCTTACTTGTCCAAATATATGGTTTAAATAATTAAATATATGGTATTGTTTTTAGATCTAGCATTTTTTTTCATGCTTGTTGTAGAAGATATTGCAATTCTTTCAATATATGAAAATGAGCCACTCACTGTTGTTGAACTTCTCAATTTCTTCTAAACAATCAACTAAGCTTTGAAAAATATTCTTTGATGGTACATAATGTATAACAACCAAATTAGCGCTGCAATTCTTTTAAATTCCTTAAATTATTGACTTCGTTCTTAGCATAAAATATGTGTTTCAACATATTTAGTTCTATGGAAGCCTAGAAGTACCACACAAATTTTTATTGTATCTACAACGTAAATTACAATTTTTGAGAAAATTATGAGTTGTATTATCACGGATTCCCATGTGATTGGCTCGTTTGGCAATTTAGCCCCACGTTGAACGCTATATCGCGGATTTAGTAGGGCAATTATCTATCTTCTGTCATAACCCGACGGGAGACGCCATGATGCGGATTTTGTTCAGTTTGTTTAGCTCCCGTTGGAGTTGACCTACTCTCATCTCCTCTCAGCATCATAAGAGGTTCATAAAACCTCATGATGGGTCCAGAAAGAACGTAGCTCTCTGGGTCCGTTTTCACCTTCGGTGCTAGGACGCTAGCCGCCCGCTCGCCCATGAAGGGGTTCCCAGGAATTTAGTTTGACGTTAGCCCTTGGGTCAGGGAAAGACGTGGAGATTTAATTTGGGTGATTGAGACTCTAATTTGTGTCTGAATTAGTTGACCTAAGACTGCACTGGCACTTGGTTTTATTAAAATAGAATATCTCTCTAGAATCCTGGAAAGTTTTAGACATGCTGAAGATTTAACTGTTATCAATTTTTGTTACTTTGACATTTTTTGCTGTTTTTTTTCTATAAATTTTTAATGTTGATTTATACAGGAATGTAACAAACTTAAAATCTCGATTTTAAATTAATTTAATTTCTTAAATTAATTACACCATTTTTTTTTAAGAATGCTGATGTCCAGGCGTAACAAAAAAATAATTTAATTAATGTTTAAAATGGTACATTTGAACCACGGGCTACAACTACTGCCTCCATTAGCACTTTGATTTTTTAACTACAATCACGCAAAAAATGTACCGATAAAAGTCTATATAAAATCTGTGATTAGCAGCTTGATCTTTTTTATAACACCTGCATAACAAACACATTTAACAAACTTATTTTATGTACTTTTTTATTTCTATAGGTAACTGTTGTAACAACTCATCCTCCAGTAATCATAGACAATTCTCACTACGTACCAAGAACCTCTTCAACATCACCTAGCAATAGCGCCAATGAGGTTGTGATCATATCCAACGAAACAAACAAAACTCATGTAGAATCTTCCGACGATGAGTTCTGTCCTTCATTGGATTCTATAGAATATCCACCTCCAAACGAGTTCAGAGATAAGCCCCTGAAAGCTAAAAAACTTGATGAAAGTGAAGTGATGATAACCGATTCTAGTTATGTAATAAACGATTCCGGACTTGACGTCTCCGAGGACAGTTCCAGGCTATTAGATACCAGCCATGTATCAGTTGTAAAAATAGACGAAGAAAAAGTTCAAGTGAAGGATTCTACGTCTTACCTAAGTGATAAATCGACAGATAATTATAGAGGTTCAACGAGCGATCTTTCTAATACTTCGTCTGGAAAATCTGGTAGTACCAAGAGCGAATACGGTGATGAGATTCGTGGTACCTCAATTATCCTAGACGGGCCTTCCTCCGATATTCACGAAACGTCTAAGCAGAAACTTAATGGACAAATCGTCCACGCGGTTAGTCGGGAAGACATCTACAAGAGGAGCTTAAACGGCAAGACTTACTCGGATAGTTTTGAATCTGCAATGTCGGATAAATCGCACAGCGATTGTGGATCTGTGAGGAGCAATGACTCCCATAGAAGATCCAGATCTGGAACCAGTAAGAGTATGGAGCACTCTGATGTTGAAAGTATTTCTATAGCTAGTCATGAAAGTCGGGGAAGTAACGAAAAAGATAAATTAGAGATAGAAGACGATGTCGTTCTCAGAAAACCACCGAAACCGAAACAGGAAACAATAGCCATGCAAAACAGAAAAACTAGAAAACGAACTAGAAAGTTTGTTATCGATGGCGTTCTAATAACCACAACCACAAGCAAAGTAATATACGGTGACGAAGAAAATTACAACTTAAGCGATCCACATTCGGATAGAAAACAGGAACTGAGGGAACTGAAATATTTACAGAAACAGGAACAGAAACAGTTCCAGGACCTTGCCACTAAAGAAAACTTGGCCCTGGAGCAGCAAGAAAGAAAATTTGAGCAAGAACGCCAAAACTTGGACAGGACTTATGAAAATGACTTGGAGATGCTCAGTAGACAGCAGAGAATGCAGATTGAAAGAGCCGAAGCTCATCAAGATGCAGATTTGAGAGCTGCCTCTAAGAAAATAAGAGCTGAACAGGAAAGAGAGCTGAAATTGTTCAGAGACGGATTGAAACAGGAACTACGTCTACTTAAATGTGAAATTGATATGTTACCAAAAGAGAAAAGAAAGGCGGAATTTAAAATTCGCAAAGATAAGATGGATGCCGACCACCTGGAAAGAGAGAAGGCTTTCTTAGAGAAATTGAACGAAAACCACGAAACCTCTCTCAGACGGCTAGGCGACAATCACCGGGAGAAAATAGCGTTGATGGAAAGGCAATTCCTACAACAGAAGCAACAACTGACCAGAACCCGCGAAGCGGCTCTTTGGGACATAGAAGAAAGACACATTCACGAAAAGCATCAGTTGATAAAGAGACAAATTAAAGAAATATTTATCCTTCAAAGACACCAGATGCTCACGCGACATGAAAAGGAGAAGGAACAAATCAAACGAAGAGCTGCAAGGAAGGAAGAAGAGCTTCTGAAAAAACAGGCTATAGAAAGAAGGTCACTGCCCAAGCGTATCAGGGCAGAAATGAAGGCCCGTGAGGCTATGTTCAGGGAATCTATGAGGATATCTATATCGGGCGCTTCTGATCCAGATGCAGAAAAAAATAGGTTTAAAGAGGTAAGTTCTTTAAATATTTTATTAATTCTTATTTTTTTTAACGGGTCTGTTTTCCTTTATCTAACAGGTGTATTTTTGTTGGAATTTTCATTTAGAAAAACCTCTTCACATCGAAAACTATAATTTTTTCTTTGTTTGAGTCCTACTTCAATCTATTATGGATAGTTTTATAGTGGAATAATTTTATTTACGAATTTAAAATTATGTATTGCAAGCCGAGGGTGGCAAAGCGATCCTCAGTCCTTTATCCCCAATATTTTGAATGTGATTTTTTAGTGTCTTCTAAGAGAAATTTCTTCTTTTCCCAAAATCGAATTTTTTGGGTGCGAGAGAGACCCAAAGTACATCTGATATTTAGTGATAAATTTTGTCTTTTGAAGCGTTTTCTCAGATGATCGGGCCATGCTGGATCATTATTTTGCCACTAGTTACCGACTAGTCTTTTAGAGACGATATTAAAAATGTGAAAATTCTTTTTTGAGAAAAAGTATATTTTTGTTAAGGAAATCATCACGCATATCTCAAAAAGTAAACATTTTTCAAATACATTATACAGAGTGTTTGGTAAGTCGATGCATTCCTTGCAGGAGGTTATAGTATAGGTAGTAGTAGTATAGATATGTGATATATTTCCTTAATATACCATATTCGGAAAACGCTTAGTTTCTGATCTACAGGGTGTTAGTTTTAATAAGAAAACGCTTAGTTTCTGATCTACGGAGTGTCAATTTTTATAAAAAATGCAAATTTATAGATATTGCGGAAACCGCTCAGAATATTTTAATGAAATTTTACGCTTTGACAGTTAACAACAATACATGTTTTACGATAATATTGTTTTCAGTTTCACCAGTGGCATGCGTTCAGGCATGTCTTTGGATATTTTTAAAGAAAAAAATAACACGCCACTGATTTTTCTTAAAATAAATATTATTAGAGAGAGGTAGGTAACTCGACTGTTTTTCTTATGACGCACCGTTTTGCAGAAGTTCATTCTCCTTAAAGGATCCTCTTCAAGCAAGTCTTGAACTGGTGTATAATGATACGGATGTTATTCCTCTTCATTCAATGTTGCCCAAATTTTCCACTGCGACAGCTTAAGATGCCTAGCAACGACGCATATGCTCGTCGTTGGATCTTCCTGAAAAGCCCTAAGAATGGCTTCTTCATCATTAGGACCGTAACGTGCAGGAGCTCCTACACGAATTTGCCTGTGGTGTACAGTTCCTGATTCACTGATCATACGATATGTGTTTACAAAGCCATGGATATTTGGAAGTCGCCTTTTTGGAAAGCGACGCCGATATTCTCGACGCTTCAGTACCATTTCCGTCGTAAAGTCCAGACATGTAAAAAATTTCAGCAAATAATGAATCGTAAAACATATATTGTTGTTAACTGACAAAGCTTGTAAAATTTTATTAAAATATTCTGTGCGGTTTCCGCAATATTCATAAATTTTTATTTTTTAATTAAAACCTTAACACCCTGTAAATCAAAATCTAAGCGTTTTCGGAATATGGTATATTAAGGAAATATATCACAAATCACCTGTCCTGCAAGGAATGCATCGACTTACCAAACACCCTGTATACAAAATATAACTGGATGGGGATCATATTTATACTATGACCTTTAGAAACACGTTCCTTTTTTGAAATTCTGTCGGGTAAATTGAAATTTTTTAAAATTGTTTTCGTAATTTTCATACCCCACTGCTGATTGTATTTAGTTGAATTAATATTGACAGTGTTTTTTTGTTTTCCTAGTGAACTGTTGTCATAATCACACCGGGTGGATTGATATGTAGTTCATCTACACTAGATCTATGTCTGAGATTATTGACACAGATTTACTAATTATTCACAGTGTTTAACAAAAATTATCATAATTATATCCACAATTAATATTTAATATATCATGAAAAATATATTATTTTTTAAAACACTGGAAAATTTTTTTAATGTTTATTGCGTCGTCTGCATTGATATAAAAAAAATAGTATGACTTTAAAATAACATGTTGAATAACAAAAGCGAAACTCCAACTGTTAGTTCCCTACAGTTGGTTGATAAAGATAACAACAGGCAACATTAATAATGGTGCACATACAATAGAGTTCGGGAGCAATCCAGTGGCAGTATAGCCATGAGTTTTAGTGCAGTTTAAAAATATATATAACTTGATTTGCTTAAAACATAAATATATTTCCAATTAGTATTCTGGAGAATATGTACCCTAAAAAACTGACTCCCGCTTATAGTCAATATTTTATCTACCTCTATAATCTAGCTGTTCCTAAAATTTTATTTAAAAAAATTGTAGTGCCCTTATAAAATAACATAAGGGATTAGAAACTATGAAGCAACTGAAGTAGTATGAAGAATGTTTAATTTCAGTTCCAAGAAAAAGAAAAGAAGAGATATCAAGCAGAACAACAGCGGTTCGAACTGAAACATCAACGCCAATTAGAGGAGCTCCGAGCTATGAGTGATGCCACCATTAAAGAATTAGAACAGTTACAGAACGAAAAGCGAAAGATGCTTTTGGAACATGAAACGCTCAAACTGAAACAACGTGAGGAAGCTTTCAGCATTGAACTAAAGGAATGGAAGGCCAAATTGAAGCCCAGAAAACAGGTATGTTTTTTCTCTGTCAATGTAAGGTAGATGTTTCTGATGTACTAATTTGCTTAATACTAAAATTAATGTAATTTTTCTCGAGTTTTTTGTTTGACTGCATTGTATATATTCATCGTTTGCATGAGAGCAAGATGGATTCATATGCAGATATGAAAATTGTCGACAAGGATTTCCCTTTTGGTATTTTTTAAATGATTTAAATTAAAATATAAATTCATTCACAAGTTAGTAATGTGTTGATATAAAAGTAGTTTATACTAAATTTAAAGTATACAGAGTTTTTCAGAAAATTATGTGGTAATTATCGTTTCACTAAAAATCACTAAATTGCTTAATTTTTGACAAAAAGTTCCTAATTGTGAGACACATCAAGTGTTATATTCTTGACTTTAGTTTCTTCTTCAACTAGATATGTGCAAAATTTTAAACAAAAATAAATATCACCGATTTAACTGCAAAAACTTGCTAATGTATTTATGCATGTCTATTATTCTATCAGTTATTGATTTTAAAACCTAGTAGATATACTATACAAAAATTTTAAAAAGTGATTTTAAAAAATTGCCAGAAAACAGAAACAAAGAAAAATAAACCTTATTTTTTTTTATCTATAATTATTTATGGTAGGCTTTTTTGAAACACTCAGTATATCTTTATTAAAATGCTTTACAGAAATGTTTATGTTTGAAATGTATATAATTTAGTTGCACTCCATTAATCTCTTACTAACATTCCACACGTTCTTGTAGAAAATTGAGGAGGAATTGTACAGAGAAATGCGTTCCGCCAAATACATACAATACCTTCCGAAGCTGTCTATGCCAGAACCAGGTTCTTCTTCGACTGACACTGTTCCCGAACCTGATACCGTTTCTGTATCCGACACCGTTTCCATAACCGACACCATTTCTGTGTCTGACACGGTTACTGAGACCGACACCGCCTCTTTAGCATCCTCTTCTTTAGATACAAATTCCTCTGTACCTTCTAGTCCTTTTGTACCGAATGGTAACAAATCCGGTTGGGGTCGCCAGAGAACTTGGAATACAGGAATTGCTCCTGAAAGGAGTTTTACTTTCTCTGCCTATGACTCAAAACCCGATTCCGCTGCTTAGTTCCCCGTGTTTGTGTTGTCGCTGTCTTTTTGTTTTCCCATGTACATATTTTGTTTTGTGTGTTTTAATTTATTGTATTTCATTGTCACTCCTTGCACTCTGGAGTTATTCTTCACAGTTACTTTATAAGGTTTGTAGCCATTACTAACACTATTTTTTAAGTAAGTAAGAACAGAAAAATTAATTTCACAGATGTTTGCATCTGTGAAATACATTGTTATAAAATTAGAAAATATATATTCAAGAACATAACATCATTTTGTTTTAGGGGTTATTGGTATTTTTTTGTTAAGTTTACGTATATTACTGGAAAATTATGTTGAAACTTAATTTGTTGGTCCAAACGAAAATTATCGTTGAAGGGAGTATTACCAATATAGAAAACTTTATGACGGGCTCAATTTTCACTTAAAAGTTATTTACATTACAGTTTGACAAATTTCATTTAATAGTTGAAGGATAGCGGTGGAACTCTGCATCATAAGCGAAAAGAGACATAATTTCAAAATCTATCAACAGATAGTATCTCAAGTTCAGATAGAATCGGTAATAGAAAAATGCTGTATTATTCTTCCCAAAAATATTGCCATTATTTAGAAATTTATAATTACTGAAGGGTGTCCCAAAATGCACACCAGAAGTAATTTTGATTGAAAACACAGGTTTTTAATTTAAACCTAAATTTTTATTGATTCATAAAGTATGCTGTACGGAATAGCATATCGGGTAAATGACCTCCACGACTTTGCTGGCACAACGCGCCCTTTTGTCAAAATTTTCCATGACCTTTTCAATTTCCTCCTTCAAGGCCTGGTTATGGGATTGTTGGCATAAAATTATCACAGTGAGCACCATTAACTGTTGTTACCTGACCAGCCACATTTTCGAAAAATGTTCCAATGATGCCTCCAGTCCAAAATCTGCACCAAATAGTGACACGTTGCGGATGCATTTGTTTCTCAACATTCACTCGTGGATTTTCTGAACCTCGAATGTGACAATTTTGTCGATTAATGAAGCCATCAAGATGAAAATGAGCCTCATCGCAGAAAACAATTTTGTTAAAAAAAAAACAGCATCCACTTGTTCCATAATCCATTCAATGAACTCCCTTCGCTCAGCATGGTCAATAGGCTTCAGTTCTTGTGTCAATTGAACTTTGTAAACATGAAGATGCATATCACATGAAAATATTCTGCTGTAGAGAGCTTCTCGAATTGTCCAATTCTTGACCTCGATGACGAATTGATGTTAGTTACTGGACTCTCAGCAACACTCTCTTGAGCTGGTTCGATGTTTTGTCTTAAACAACTTAAAGGATGGCCAGAATGTTTAAGATCACTACCTGATCCAATCCCTGAATTTTTGCAGTTAATCTGATCACAGTTGATGACATTAAATCACTATTTCAGCCATATTTTGTACGAAAATTAGGAACTGTAGCTGCCAAACCATCATTACTTTTAAAATATTGCTCAACTATGAAAACACGTACTTTCGTGTAGCACTTTTTTTTTTCTTTGTTTATCTTTCTTTACCGCACGCAAAATTAAAATCTCGTGAATTTTGGGACACCCATTATATTTATGCGAGATCCTCTGTTCTGAAACATTTATTATTAAATATTTTGTGATGACTGAGTGATGAGAAATAATTGACCAAATTTACATATGAATTTAATGTTAAATAAATAACAGTTCATTTTTGCTTAATGGGGTATTTTGCCACACTGAGAAAAAATAATTAAAAATCTGAAATAAGTAACACTAATAATTACAGACAGCAGTGAACTGCATAAGCAAAGCGATGACGGCTCCTAAGGCGACAGAAATGGACAGTGATGATGTGCTTCATCCAAGCACAAATTATGGATTTCCTAATATTAGTTTTGATTAGCTAATTTTAATCAAAAGCTAACATTTTTACTTAAATCAGCTTATCAGAATGATAATTAACCCTGCTTTTATCCCATTTAAACATACGGAGAAGTTAAGAAATTGCTATGAAACAACGTAGAGGGATCTACTATTTCTAAGTGTTCGGAACAACCAAATTAGGCCGAACAACCTTACAAAGTAGCTCATAGAAAAAAGAAGTTTCTTTTCTATCAGCTTACAAAGTTCCACTGCGCATAACCTGTGCTTTTTTTATTATACCATTGCTCTACTGCTTGGTATTCTGTCTCTTAGCACATTCTATGCACTCTTCTTCTTTTGCACAGCTAATAAGTGAAAGTTGTCAACTTGAATGTAATTTGCATTGTTAAGTGTAAGTAGTTAAGACCAACATACGTAGGTATTTCTTATAAGAAACCGTGACACAGTATGTTACCATTCAGAAAAACTTCTTTTTTTTTTTAATTAAATAGGACATTTAAAGTTTTCAATGTTGGATTAATTCTTTGAAGACGTACAAAATTAAACAAAGTTTTATTGTTTAAAGAAAAGATGGATAATTTAGAAATGAAATGAGAATTTTGAGCGAAACTATGAACTACTCGGTTATATAAAAAATATGTTCGTGTTTTGGATGAAATTGAAAATAGTTAAAAAATCAGCATCCACCAGTAAATTGTCTAAAAGATACGTCTTTTATATGGTTCTATATGTTTAATCAGAAAATTGGGATATTGAAACAAAGTCCGTCTTAGATATCAAAATTTTTTATGAATTGTTTGGTTTTAGAACAATCTATCTGACAAAATTAAATCCAAGAATGGAAATTACCAAAAATTCCTGCCATCAATATGGTGTTACATGTTTAAAGTGTAACTGACATTTCAACAAGCCTTTAGGGTTGATTGCGCTTTCATCAAAACAAAGTACATAAGAATGATTTTTAAAGGTTTTATGATCCTTCAAAAATTGAATGTGAAATTCGAAACAGGCTTCCAATGAAAAGTATACAAGTTTTTGTTATATAACATGTTAAAAAAATAAGGCGTATACTCAAATATACTTTATATCGTTTTAATACATTTTCTATGGACTAAAATCACTGAATTATTATTATTATTATCTTATATTATTATTTTATATGATTTTTGCAATGTAAACTACATTCGGGCATGTGTTGTGTACCTTTTATTTATTTTGAATGTCAATTTAAGGAGGTTCGATACCGAAAAAAATAGTAAGAAAGTTTTCAAAGCAATTGAGATCTGTTAATAAATATGCAAACTGCCACGTGTCAAAATATCGGATCGATTGCCAACGTAGTTTTTTTGAAAAATTACTAAAAATTATGCTGTTATACACAGGCTTATGGGAGTTGGGGAAAAAGGGTTAGGATCGGGAAAATAAAATTGTAAATAAAGAATTAAATTTTAAAACTAAAAATATGCACTTACAATATAATTATTGAGATAATGGAATGAATAGATAACGTTTTGACAAATTTGAAAAAACATCTGATCCAATGGAAGGAAATATGGCAACTATGCTGTACTTAACGCTTCGATTGACACGCTGTATTTGAATAGCTCGATTATAGACTATAAAATTATTCCAGTCGAAAACATATCGACACTAGTACGAAAACATGCTATCTCAGATTTTGGTTGGAAAACATGCCATCTCAAATTTCTGTTGGAAAACATGCTATCTCAAATTAAGCTTGGAAAACATGCTAGCTCAGATCTTAAATATTCCTTACTTTTTGAAAAATATATTATATAAGGTTATTATAAATGCACGGTTTCAATCATTCCAATTTCATGTCAATTTAAATTTCTAGTCAAACTGAGATAGCATGTTGTTACTTAAAGATATGAGCTAGCATGTTTTCCAAGCTTAATTTGAGATAGCATGTTTTCCAACCGAAATCTGAGATAGCATGTTTTCATACTAAAGCGTCGAATGTAGTAATAATTAATATTAAATTTTTCATGATCTAATGCAATATAATAGCAATTTGAAACAAAAATTGAAAGGATCACTTTGCAAAACGAACAGTATAGATGTCCCAGCCAGGACAAAAGGAGGTCCCATAAAGCGCCTACACCGGCCGCATTTGCCGTCGGAGTAGACGACGGATGGGGCGCACCTACGAAGGCTGTCCAGGCCTACACGAGATGAGGCAGGATAAAGAGGGATAATCCCCCTTGATCCCAAATCATTGAGGCCAATTTCTAGCCATGGAATAATGGCGCAGTATAGATATTGTCATAACCTTCAATTTGACAAGGCGGCGTCTCGCTACCATATACTGAGCTTCTTGATAGTTATCATATTGGATTCTCGGTTTGCACATTTTACTTTTTCCTCATCAATCCACATTCTATCTGCTTCATATGCCTTTTATATTGCTTTTCAGTCAATACTTTTCCTTTGTATTTTGGATGTTCATTCATGTTTACGGTATACACGCTAAGCTCAGTTGTTGACAGTTGACCCAACTTTTACCACCGCGCCATACTGATGTGCAATGTTGCCAGATTTCGCCCATAGTTTTACAAGCTCTTAATGAATAAATAGACATTTATTCAAATAAAAAGCTAATTGCTGTGCATTAATCACAAAAAATATATGCGAGCTAATATGTGCTGTATAATTTTCATTTGCATATATTTAGTTTGCTCAAATTAGTTTATGTAAGGTTGGTACTGCAACGAAACTACCGTGTATAAGCATAGGCTTCCCTCCCGCACCACCTGCCCTGCAAGAGATCTATCGAACCTCCTTAACACATTGAATGCTGTATTGGAATTGACAATAATTGTACTTTTTTTGAAGTGTAAGGGTATATAAATCTCACAAATATGGAATTAATTTGTGTAAGCTCTTGAACTATTCATGGTTATACCATGTCTAAGGTAGCAAAACATATTTTGTGAACAAATTAACATATTAACACTTTTCCATAGAAAAAAGTCAAGATGAGTATCTTTCTTCATGAGAATATATGCGTTATAAAGCCTTCTAAAAAGACGTACTGACTAAAATCAAAACCAAAATAGGAAAAATGTTAGTTTTTTTTTGCCGGGAGGAATCAGCCTTGAAAGTTTGTCACGAAGTCACTGTTTACGCTCAGTTACACTATAATATATATTTTTTAAAATAATGAGAACCCTGTTTTTCTTCTTTATGAATGTATTTTATTGATTATATGCCACTTTTTAACTTAGCTGTAATGTTACGTTTCAGAAATTGGAGGAAACATTTGCTCAGCAGTTGGAAGAGCAGGAAAGGGTGTATGGACCCGTTGTTCCGTTAACCCTACCACCAGATTTAACCGACTTAAATACAGATAGTTGTAGTAGAATTGGTCTCGGTTCGACGAGAAGCAGTTTGTCTTCTGTTTCAGAAGGTTAATTACGGATTTCGCAGTGGACAGTAGAATCCCAAAAATCGCGCCTCTGTATATTTCCAGAGCAAACATGAAACTAGTTGAAGTGTACATAATATTTACACAGACTGAATATTTTAATCTATATTTATAAGACTAGATATCAGAGTTAAATTTATAATGAAAAAAAGAAGAGAAGAAAATGAGGTGACCTGATCTACCCCACTAAAGAGGAATGTTATATACAGTTAAGCGTTGAGATTTATATTTTGATTTATCCCATTTTTGTTATTTTTTTTGATTGATGATTGTTTTGTCTTGTATTATATTAGAATCTAGGGTGTCAATTAAAACCTGGGGACATAGGGGAAATTCATAATGGCAGAACTTAATACACTTATGCGCTTAACACGTTAATTATTTAAGCTTTAAACAACAATAATCCTATAATTAGTGTACATATAATCCTAACAGAATTTATATAACTTAATCGCAGGACAATTGTTGCACCTTTTGTGGTTTACGTTTTCTTTATGTCCCTTTCCATGTATCCTTTCTCTGAAGAAAAAGGTAAAGTTGTGTGCATTTATTATCAACAGACTGACAGGTTTTAAATTTTACCTAACGTTAAGTTACTTCAGTTCAAACGTTTGTCGTAGTTTATTAAGTATGAATTGTCCACATCTTAATATAGTTTAATATAACCAAATCATACTTAACAGAGTTAAGTTAATGGGAATTTTGTATTTAGCCATTACCCCCACACTCTTTTGACACCACAGTCTGATGTATAAAATAAATTAGTTTGTATTATTTATGTTATTATTATTATTATTAACTTTTAAACTAATAATTTACACTAGGATGTATATACAATTTTCGATTCGTTCTGATGGGAACAGTGTGGCAAATTTTAATCCGATACTTTTTTACCCATGCTATCCTGCTGTCCTGTATTATAAAATATGTACAGTCAGTATATTTTATTTTTATGTGCATATTATTACCAATAATTATTTGAAATAAAAAATCATTTTTATATGCTGTTTCGTATCTTCACATTAATTTCTGTTTGTACCGGAGTTTCTCGAAACCCGGTTCAAAGTTATTAACATTATTTGATATTAAATACATAAGTACAAAAAAATATACAGGGTGTCCGGAAATGATGAGCAAAACATTCAGGGGATAATTCTAGACCGAAAATAAGTCCTACCTCTTTCTATAACATTTTTTCCAAAACTGATTATTAACGGAGTTACAGGGTGTTAAAATTAAATTTTATTTCCAGTTTTTTTGCAATACCTTTTGCCACACTAATAATATTTTGACGAAATTTCGTATATGGGGGTTTTTCGGGATGAGGATTATAAATTTGCCCACCGTTTGTTCGCATTTTGTAGAGGGCGCCACATACGAGCCTTTATTTTGATTTGAATGGTTCCAACTTTTTTGTGCTACAGTTTATGCGACTTTTGACGGAATATTTTTGTTCTACTAACCTTTTGACATAAAAAAGGTATACTTTATATGTTTCGATAAATCTAACCGTTTTCGAGAAAAACGCATGTGATGAATACGAAATCATTTTAATTTATTTTCTACATTGAACATAGCATGCTTTGGAAACAAGCGCTTGGTTGCCTTGGAAACAAGTTTGTGGAGAATTAGTTTTGACAGATAGTAATTTTGTGCAAGTTCTTTTGCAGTAATTGTTATAATAAAAATGAACAACAATAATTACTCTAACGTGGAGTTGCGGGGCATGCAATATTATTACGGTTTAACTGCTGGCATGCTCTTGCAGCGCGACGTTTGTATCGCGAAGCATTTACAAATAGAAACCTACCCCAATCGCGAATGTTCAATACTATTCATCGAAGACTGGGAGAATTTGGATCGTTCAAAACTCGATTTTTTTATGTATGTCGACAACGGAATACTAGAACAGCAGAAGCTCGTATTTTGAATTCGATAGAGAATAATCCCAATGTAAGTATAAGAAAAATTGCTATTCAGGAGGGCATTCCAAAGACCTCCACAATGAGCATTTTTCTTCTGATGAGAATCCTAATTTTTATCAATAGAGCGTGGTTACCAAAATAAGTTTTCCGTCAACGTGTGGGCCGGTATTGTAGGTTACTTCTTAATCGGGACACATTTCTTTCCACGAAGACTCAATGGTGAAGATTTTTTAAGAAACCACTTACCTATTCTATTGGAAGATGTACCACTCGGATTAAGAAATGCAATGTGTCTGCTTCAAGATGGCGCGCCACCGCATTTTAGTTTAGCGGCCAGAGAATTCTTAAATGAAACTTTTCCTGAAAGGTGGATAGGAAGCGGTGGTTTTGTACAGTGGGCTCCTAGATCCCCTGACTTAAACCCAATCGATTTCTTTTTTTTTGGGGTTATCTGAAGACGCTTGTATACAGGACACCTGTGAATAGCGTCGATGAACTGAGAGAAAGAATTGCTAATTGTGAGGTAATTAAGCAAAAGGAAGGAATATTCCATAGAGTTCGTCGGAATTTTTTAAGAAGAATTAATTTATGCATTGAAGAGGAAGGACGTCACTTTGAACCTTTGATTTGAATGTTTAATTTGTATTTGTATTGTTGTAGTAACTTATGTATTTTAACCTTATGATTTTGTTAGTAAACCATTCTTTATTTGTTGAGGACGTTATTTTTTTATTATTTATCGTTAACCACCATCAGCGTAACAACAAATTTTCACAAAAATTACTATCTGTCAAAACTAATTCTCCACCAACTTGTTTCCAAGGCAACTAAGCGCTTGTTTCCAAAGCATGCTATGTTTAATGTAGAAAATAAATTAAAATTATTTCGTATTCATCACATGCAAGCAATGTTACTTTAGCGTTTTTCTCGAAAACGGTTAGATTTATCGAAACAAATAAAGTATACCTTTTTTATGTCAAAAGGTTAGGAGAACAAAAATATTCAGTCAAAAGTCGTATAGAGTGTAGCACAAAAAAGTTGGAACCATTCAAATAAAAATAAAGGCTCGTATGTGGCGCCCTCTACAAAATGAGAAAAAACGGTGGGCAAATTTATAAATCTCATCCCGAAAAACCCCCATATACGAAATTTCGTTAAAATATTATGATTGTGGCAAAAGGTATTGGAAAAAAACTGCAAATAAAATTTAACTTTAACACCCTGTAACTCCGTTAATAATCAGTTTTGGAAAAAATGTTATAGAAAGAGGTAGCATTTATTTTCGGTCTAGAATTATCCCCTGAATTTTTTGCTCATCATTTCCGGACACCCTGTATATACATATATTTTTTATTGTTCCCTTCCACTTTATGCAGGGTGTCCCCATTTTCCGTGTGCCGCACATAGATGTAGAAATGTCACTTTTTGACATTACAATTAAGGTAACTACTTTTACAGAAATAGAAAAAATATCTCCAGCTATGGGTATAAATGCTCGCCATTTTTTACAGGTACACTATTGAAATTCTTATTCACCATAAAGGTAAGGTTTTTTCAAGTTTAATTGTCTTGCATAGGCGGGATTTTGCCCAAATCATTGAGTGGGCAAATATCGCTCGAGAAATTTTACCCCCCTCCCAAAAAGAAAAACCCAGAGATTGTGAATTCCCGCTCTGCGGTTTAACTACGATCTATTGCCATACGACTATTGAAATTGCACTCTCTTGAAGTTTAACTCTGAGTTTAATTTTTTTAGCTCAATTGCAATAATATTGGGGGGGGGGGGCAATTGCCCCCCCCCCCCTCAATCCTGCCTATGTTGTCTTGCATTTTTTTTTAATTTCTAATGGTTAATTAATCATGTGCGATTAATTATTTTATTAATTGCCATACATTCTTTATTCAAATATTCTTTTTACGAAAATGTAGTACATATAACCTAATAGCAAACACCTACAGAGAAAACTAATGTCTGTTATTCATTAACAATGGGAAAATCGAAAGGTGAAGATATTACATGTGAAATAGTGACCAGTACAGGGTGTTGAAAGTTAAAATTTTAAATAATTTTTCTGTGATTATTCTGAAAATATGTAGGTTAGGAACTTGAAAATTTGTGAAACTATATTTTGTTAAGCGACGAATAAGATGCATGTTGCAATTTCAGCGTTGCTTATAGATGGCGCAACTTCTACCGAAAATTTAGTTAATAACTTTTTATCCTGTATGTCTAACATGAAACTTGTTTCAAAACCTGAAAAGCAATCATTTTTCCATTATGTATTCTTGTTTCATTTGGGTATCTCGATCCGTTTTCGAGAAAAATCAATTTAACGAACGTTTTGATAATACGAGAAATTAAAAGTGAAACAAACCAAGTGTTTCTTCATGTTATTACAACAATTAACAATAAAACAAATGAAATATATAATAAAGTAATTGTTTGAAGAATCCACCATTGACACTGATACATTTTACACAACGTTTTCTGAGATCTTTGAGTTTGAAACAACATATTGGGATAGTTTACAAAGAATCTATTGGCTCACGTGAAGAATTGTGGCAAAGAATACAAATCACTGCCAACGAAGTCAGACACAATCCCAATATGTTGTTTCAAACTCGAAGATCTCTCAGAAAACGTGTATCAGTGTCAATGGTGGAGTCTTGGAACAATTACTTTAAATCATAAATACGTATTTTAGTTGTTTTATTGTTAATTGTTGTAATAACATGAAGAAATACTTGGTTTGTTTCGCTTTTAATATCTCGTATTATCAAAACATAGTGTTCGTTAAATCGATTTTTCTTGAAAACGGATCAAGATACCAAATTGAAAGAATACATAATGGAAAAATTATTGCTCTCAAGTTTCATATTAGACAAACAGGGTAAAAAGTTATTAACTAAATTTTCTGTAAAATTGGTCATAAGTGGCGCCCTCTATGAGCAATGCTGAAATTACAACACGCATCTTATTCGTCGCTTAAAAAAATATAGTTACACAAATTTTCAAGTTCCTAACCTACATATTTTCAGAATAATCGCAAACAAACGATTTAAAATTTTAACTTTTGTGCCAATGGTCACCATTTCACGTGTAGTATCTTCAGCTTTCAATTTTCCCATTATTAATGAATCACCCTGTATAGAGATGTCCATTATTTTCAATTTCATTTTGGTTAATATATTAATATTAAAATAGGATAAACTTGTGTCACAGCATATGTAAACCAGCAGTTTCTGTTGGCACTTTGATTTCGTTCAGGTATTTTCGATGTCTGCATGGAGGATGGTTCTTTCAAATAAAATGATAAGTTGATTAAATATTGTTTATAACTTCCTTTAAGTTACAATTTTTTTTTAACTTCGTTAACTGTACCTCTAATTGTTTATCTATAAATATATCTTTTTCTAATAATTGTTCATAAAACTCTAAGGCACTTTTATAGTCATTATTTAAACCTAAAAAAAATAATGTTTACTATGCTAATAAAAGAGAAAGTGTAATATAAATGTAATAATAAACTGGTGGTATTAAATTATACTTACTATACGTCCGCATTATACAGTTGTAAATAATATTTACATTAAAAACTTCTTGTGACAATCTTTCGCAAACTCTAGCCAAAGTCTGCATAGCTTCCACTTTACCTTCTTGGACCCACCTATCGCATCTCTTTTGCAGTTCTTCTTTAATATTAAGTTTGTTTGCCTGAAAAATTTACATATACACATGCATTACCTATAGTTCGCCACCTTTAAGAAAACAGTGGAAGAATTTATGGAATATAGAGAATGATATACAGGATACAGGACGTAACTAAATGGTGCATTATATTCCACAAATTAACAAAAAAGTATCTATAAACATGTGTCCGGAAACGTTTCATTTTCGAGACACAAAGTTTTGAAAAATTAATGAAATACATAGTTTAAGTTGCAAAAAATAGATAAAGGAAGTTTTTATTTATAAGGTGACTGCTTAAATTATTATCATTAAACCAAAATCAACTCCCACCTTAATAAATATTCGTATTGTTAAAATGTTGGATGTTTGGTGTGTTATGTTTGAAAAAAGTAAAACTAATATTTTTTTGAGAAATACATTAATATATACAGGCCGTTACAAATTCGCTTCTCACTGCAGGGATCTCGAAAATGGTAAGAGATACGAACTAGCTTAAATGGGGGCAAAGATGAATTTTTCGAGACAAAACGTCTGAATCTGGTTCGGGCTGAGGAAATACAGTATTGGGGGTCATGAAGGCTTGTAAAAAATGTAATAAAATTTATAGCGCTGTATTTAAATAAATGAAATTGATGGTCCTAGAAAGATGAAACGTTATATATAAAAATTGATTATGTCATTCGATAGAGGGTAAAAAGTTGCCATGAGAAAGTGTTCTTCTTTTTTGAATATCACCTCAAACACGGCCGAAATGAAACCAAAACGAATTTCCAAAATTTTGTTTTTTGTCAAATATTTCAAAAATTAATCATGTTAGCCTTGATTTTTAGAGGTGTTGGTCCCCTGATTACGCAACTTTGCCCCCATTTAAGCTAGTACTGTCTCTTACCGTTTTTGAGATCCCTGCAATTTTCAATTTCTTCATCCATATTTGGCTAAAAATTAGAATAGACATACAAGTGCGTTATAAGTAACGTTTAATTTTATTGATAAACTTGGTAACAGTGCTGAAAACACAAATTTTATTTACTATCCTTTTAAAAACAACACTTAACTGAAGAAATCTGTTACCGTTTTATTTCCTCTAAAAACGTCATGAGGCCACCTTTCTCCTAAACATTTACCGCAAAAATACACAAGTTGCTGAATCCTAATAACACCTAATAAACAGTACCTTGCTAAAAAAATCCTTTATCTCGAAAATAATTTATCATTCACCAAGAACTCATTTTTGTAAAGCCTCTAGTGTTTTACAATAATAGTGAGTTTGGATATGTTGAACAACAACAAAAATTGCAAGTGAATATTACCCCCGAAACTAAGCCACTGTATATAAAAAAACTGGCATATACATGCGTTCATGCATAATCAGAAACTCAAGCTACACACCAAATTCTATTGACATCACTTCGTCCATTTGCTTGTAATTTAACAATATTTTCAGATTTTTAACACTATCTTGAAAACGAAGTGTTTCCAGCCAAATGTTTATATGTATATTGCTTGTTAATTTGTAATGTAGAATCTGCCATTAATGTTTAACCAAGTATTTTAGTTGCTCTCTGTATTTTGACTAGTAAGGTAGTCCACAAATCAAATATTACATTTAAAAACTTGCTAAAATGCACCTGTGCTATACTTTTGGCTGGTTTTTTAGAACATGCATACTGTTGATATAAAACTTTGAGGTGAAAGATACTTGTTTAAATTTTAAAAAAGATCTTTTCTATCGGAAATACTTAGGCTAAGGTTATAGCAAATGCATGTTCTGACGAATTAACGTACTGATGAATACATCCGAAATAGAGATGAGCAATGCAGATCTTTTTAGTAATCCGTACAATGTGAAACATATCAACACAAAGATAAATACATCCGAATTAGAGATGAGCCATGCGGATCATTTTAGTAATCTATACAATGTGAAACAGCAACACAAAGATCCGCATCAGCTAATCGTATTCGGTGCGGTGGGCGTAGCTAGCAAGCTGTACTTGTACATTTTGTAGATGCCTGTGTTTGTCGTTTATTCATTCCCTTTTTGTACCTTGTTTCTCCTATAACTCTCTCTCGTGTCTATATTCTAGTTAATTAATTTTAATATAAAATAGAACAATTGGAGTAAATGGTGATTGAACTCGCGTGTTTGCACTGTTCGATTCCTTTTTACAAAAGTATAGCAGAGTTAAAGTACAAATTGAGCTTGTTGTGTGTTTGAGAAGAACCAAATAATTTAGAAACGAAATATAATTACTGTTCAACTTTATTTTTGCTTAAAGGAGGGTCCAACATTTAAATATAAAATAAACATCATTCTGCCAATTACCTATTACATTATAACGTTGAATGAGACTCATTCAACGATTATAAGTATTGTTACACAATTCTAGTTTTGTATTCACATTTCAATATTTAGTTCCCTATGCACTAAACTATATCTGCTACATCGTATGCCACCGACTTGTATCAGACACCAGAATCAATTGAGACCGATTACTAATTCACTTCGATTCCACATAAATCGATTCCCACTAGAGATCCATATGCGAATTTTATCCGTGTTCAAATGACATTCATTAGAACATTGTGGATATAACAGTTAGGTTATCTGACGAGTAGGTGTATCTGCCCTCAGAAAATAGACCCAGCTTATAATTGCTACTTTTTAGATAACTTTTTTTACTGAAAATTTTACTAACTAGAAAGTTTATAGACAAGAAATTGCTCTTTTAGTAAGACAGTGTTAGAACAAGTAGATCCATCCAGGAAGTGACAAAGCGTAATGGTACACTACAGCAACTACCTTTAATTTTTTACATTGAAAGATCATGGAGGGCCTGTAAACATCAGAAAATGTACTTTTCCTGTTTCGTCCAGCTAATTTGTAAAGATACTCGATAACTGTGATTAATGCATGTGTTAATAGTTTTCTAAAAGCCCTTTGCAGGGTGTGATTATGTTTATAGTACTGTACGCGATTTTCTGTGTGTTCAACAGGCATGCAAAATTCAGGAAATGTAAGATAAACATGCGAGGTAAAAATATGCTTTTTTTCCTTATTTTGAATAAATTATCAGTGGTCTTATACCTTGAAGGAGACTTATATAACTGGTACAGTGAAGGGATATTCTATCTAACTTACTTAAATTTTCTAAAATGCTGGACAAAAAATTGCACATATAAACGCCCTCTTAAGACAAGTAACGGCAAGTTCCGTTATTTAAGAAGATTTACAGGATTTTATTATATTTAGTGAAAGAAGCATTCTTTTACATTCTATCCATTTTTACTACTCTGCAATACTTCTGAAGAACAAATCAAATAAATTTGAATAGCTAGGTGAACTAACGTATCGACGAATAATTGGTACGTAGTATAACTATGATTTATTCATGCATGTTCAGAACGATACTGCCTCAGAACACGGATTCATTATAACGGTAGCCTTATTCATAAATGTGGGTAAATGTAGGAAACACATTAAACATTACATTAATACATTAAACACAGACTTTACCAAAAACACTTACCACAAATAGTTTTTGTAGTGCCTTTTCTTGGCCATTCTCAGCTAATGCAGCAATTAATACAGTTCGAGTTGACACCACTCCATGTACTTTTTCGGTAGCCTTTATAACACTTTGGAGTAAGCTATCATTTTGTTCTTTTAATAATTCCTTTATAAGTTCCAACTGTAATGGTGTACACTTATAGTCACTGGCACAATTTAAGTATGTGTTTACACCTTTTTGCAGATCTCTGAAATAACGAATATATCCATTCACCATTCATACACGTTTTAGTTTATTTTGAGCATAAAAATATAAGACTTTCATTTATGATGCAATATGTAACATATTATAAATTTTGAAATACCAACTTTTTTAAATGTATTCGAACCAGAGGTCCAAAAATAATATTAGTAGGTTTACAGTAGCCATATTCAACTAAAAACTCGAACATTTTGAGCTGCTCTTCTGCATTTTTATAGGAATCTAGTAATTGCCTACAGTTTTTTTCTATTCCAGACCCCGCAAATAATTTTCTGTAAAAAAATGTACTTATTTTTATGTATTTTAAATGAACATATCTTACTTTGATGTCTCAATTTTCAATATATCCATTGCTTCGCCATATTTCTCTTCCTTCACCAATAATGTTGCCAAATCGATTACTTTAAAGTTGTCAATTTTAAAGTGGGGACTAGTAAGTTTAATATTGTTATAGATACTCAAAGCCTGTTCTAAACACTCTTTTTTAATATAGTTGTGCATTAGGGAAGATTTCATGCCCACCGTTTCTTCGTATCCAGCAAATAAAAACTGCTCTCTCAGTTCATTCACTCTGTCTAAATGTCCCAAGTTAGCATGTTGTTGAATTAATTTACGAAGTACCCCTCTTGTCTCCATATTTTTTTCTTGAAGTTCCAATAAATGACATTCTAGTTCATCAATGGTCATGTTTTGCTAAAGAGACATAATGTGTGAAGGCCAATAAAAAAACATTATAATATATCTCACCGGATGAGGAATATATGCTGGTTCTGGATTTAAGCCAAAGTCCATCAACTTATCAATTCCATCTTTAATTTTTTCACAAACTTCTGAATCTTTGCATTTTGAAGAAGTTAAATTATGTAAATTATCAGCTGTTGCAGTATTTATTCTTAACTTCTTTTTATTTATCAACTAGAACAATTAAAAATAAATTGTAAAATTTCACTTTAAATAGTAATTTTTAGAACAACACATTTAAAAATATGCAAGAAATTAATTTTAGTAAAAAATATAGGCAAAAGTTACTTCAATGTTTCACACTAAAAAGATTTCGATTACACAGAGTATTTAATTTGGCTTGGGCACTACCCAACTTTAGTTTTTTAAATACTTATTGCATTTTGAAATTCATCGTTCAATTTTAACGTGACTATGTAAGAAACAAGTCATCTGAATTGTTTCACTTTGTTTAATTTGCGAGTTATTTAACAGTTTTTGAAGAAAGTGCAAATTGCAGCATCTTCGTTAATTTCAAATATATTCGAAGTGAAGAAAGATACAAACTTCAATATTTGCAACAGCCTGAAATTTGAAAAAATTCAGAAAAGTTTTCCCTTTGCCTTTCCAAAGAAAACATTTATGCACAATGGTTTTTTTTGGGAAATTTTTCAAGTGCACATTAAGAACGTTTTCACCTTTACAGCACTAATTCAATGTGATCAGTTATTTTGTCCAAGTCCCTACAGCTGCTATTTGAAATTTTAATATAAACTAAAAAATGTCATGGTGTCCTTTGCATCTACAAACAACCTTCCCTTATTTACATATCTCCAGAACTGTTTTAAATAGAAAAATAAGGATAATTTTATTCTACATCTAATATTAAAATGTAAGTTAAGCCGTCTCAAATATTCCAAAATTTAGGTCAAGTAACTGATTCTTCGAGAGAAGGAAAAGATAAATCTTTTCAAGTTGAAATGAATAATGAAAAACTGTAAGTTTGTAACTCTCTTCACTCAGAAAATATTTGAAATTAACAAAGAGACTGTAATCTGAACATTTTTCAAAAAGTGTTGAATAACTTGAAAACAAAGTATTTTAGACAGAAATCATGTGAAATAGTCATATTAAAAGTTTACGATGAATCCAACAATACAATAACATATGGTACAGTATTCCATTTAAAAAATTGAAAAATTAATTTCTTCACAGGCCAAATTAAACATCTTATTAAAGTTGAAGCAATTTTGCCTAATTTTTTTCTAAAATTGGCAATAAGGCAGCTATGGAACAATGGAGCTGGGCAGGGATATTTGTATAATAAAGTTATATATCGTACATACCTCCAATAGTTTAGCATACTCTATAAAATCATTATTACTTGTGCATGAATTTAATGTTTCTGTAAGGAAATCGCCCACAAAATCTTTTTTTGTATGATTTGATTCACAATATCTCTGTAGCAGTACAACAACTGAATTTGTATCTTTTGAAGTAATCCACGATGAAGAAAATAATCGAAGTAACTTCTCACCAAATATGTTTACGTTGTATGTGCTACCTAATAACATTACATACCATAAATAGCGATGTGCGTACTCAAACTGCAAAATGATCACTTCTACACAGCAATTTTCTACAAATAATTTCTTACTACATATGAGTTAAATTAAAAAAAAAGGATAGTAACATGTTGAGTCACTGAAATGAAAGAGACTGAGAGATATAAATGTTTTGTTAATTAATGATAATGAAATTAGAAAACCGTAAACTTACACAACTCTGCAGCTTGTTTTACTTTATTATTCTGAAGAAGTACTATCAACAGAGAATTAACTGCGTCCTTGGCAGTGACTTTTAAATTCTTTAATTTCGTTATAGTCAATTTTAAATTATCTGTATTACATACTGGAAGTACATATGTATGCATCGTTTCCCAGTTTATTTCCACACCCAAGTCAACCATTTTTTGTAAAACATTAAATATACCTAGAAAAAATACGGAATGTGGAATAATCAAATAAATTTATTCATCATGCGAAAATGCGCAAAATTATTACCTATTTCTCCTTGTTTTCTATTAGCATCCAACAGCAATGGCCAGAAGAAATGTGGTCTCAAAACTGGCATGTTTTCTAACAATCTCCAAGATGCTTCTGTATAATTATGCCTCAGTGCTAACTCTGTCAAGTGTTGTAGAGCATAATTATTTAAATTATTATCATGCAAATGTTTACATAATGTTATAGTCCTTTCGATATCCTAAAAATATTGGTTAATTTAAGAAAAGTAGAATTCACTTAATAGCCAAAACGGATTAAAACATAAAAGATCAAGACGCCTCCCTTTATCATTATTCAGCATGATGTATTATGGCACGTTAGTATATTATAAAATGGCTTAGATAAACTTTTCCAAAAAACTTTCGGCTTCATAAAAAGATAAATTTGAGTTTTAAAAATTTCTGAATTCACCTTATATATAAAAAATAATAACTGAAAACGTACAAAGCACTAAAATATGACAGGGTCGTTTCAAGTGAAATCTGAACACACTGTATATATTCTTACACTTTCAAATCAAACATATAGTGCGGCACATAACAACATAGGGTCTATAGATCACAATTGACTAATAGTTATCCTTGTTCGTAGATGTAGATAAGTCTAATGCTTGAGTTATAAGCTTTTACCATTACCATTCCAATACCTGTTACCTATAAAATGTACCTATGCTCTCTATTATTTGTCGTTCCCGTTTGAAGTAAACGGATGGGAATAATTATTAATAAATGAATATATGTACATTTCTTAGGTAACAGGAAGGGCAACAGAAAAAGTTTACAAATAAACTTTTAAGTCATGCCGTTTTAGCATCTTAATAGCTTCGAGAAGTGTTACACGTAGGGCAAGACTTTGTATCAGAGAAGGTGGAGGGTTTTTGGAACAGTTTTTAAAATAGCTTGTTGTCTGTTATCAAAATTAAGTTTCCATCTTATGATCCCTTCGAAAAGTGACGGTTGCAGCTAAATTGCGGAATACAGTGAGGAATGTCCTCCTTGATGTCAGCCTTCTGTTTGGAAACCTTCTGCCGTACTCGCGTTCTGCCGCGCAGCATTACCATCGCAAAAGCCATAAACAAATCATATCATAATTGTTCTACATCAATAATGTGTATTACTGATTACGTATTAAATTATTATTATTATTTTTTGTTTAAATCACTATGAAATTGACCAAAGTGGGATTAATTCAAGAGCGATTTTCTCAGAAACCGTTAAAGATAACGATTTGAAACAAGAGTACCTTTTTAACGTAAAACAGTTCGGGAAAACGGAATTTGCTGTCCAATTTTTTAAAAAGTCAAAGATGAAAAAGTTACACACGCAAAGTACCAAGGGCCCCCCCGTACCCACCCTAATGGACCTTGTGGAAATAAATGAATTAGTCCATCAAATTGCTCATCAAAATTTAGCTGTGTATACCAAATTTCATTCATTTATCACAACGCGATTGAGAGATATTGCAAAAAAATGATTTCCATTCCTCCCTCTTCAATGGGTCCCTGTGCCCTTAGGAAGCATTTCCGGACCCATGTTCATATGAACTTTTTTACTTAGTTTTGATCATAGAATCGGCCTCTTCAGGGTTGGCAGCTACTTATGAGACACCCTGTATAAAAAAAACTATAAAAATCTAATTGTTGCAACGTTTTAATAATAATGGATTATTTATCATAATAAAGTCTTTATAATATGTGAAAATTAAGTAATTTCATTAATATGTACAAAAAATTCTAATTTATGTTTTAAGATTGATAATAGGGATTTTGCCCCAAAATGGCTACTATTGTGGTACTTTATCAATGCCTAGGGACTCTATGACAGTGTTAGTCGTTACAATCAGAGTTGCCAGATGTGGTAATTTATTGCCATTGGCGACGCAACATACTCGAATGGCTACCAAAAATTTCACATGGCGACTGGCGATTTTTAATATAATTGTGGTGACTTATCTGTATCTATAGTATCACTTGTTTTTCCATTACATGGTCTCGATATTTACTAAAATATTTGATTTTTAAATATTCTCAGATTATTTTACTCCAAAAAAAATTAATGAGGTGCCACCTAACATCATATTTTAACAACATTCTCTATTATTTCATACAGATGGCAACTTTTTGGCTACTGTATTTCCATCCACTGACGATGAAGCCCAGATAATGGCTTCTAAATATTCAATAATTTAAAGTATATATATCGTGTATATAAGAAAATATATTCTACCATTATATTTTCATTGCAAAAATAATCATTTTAACTCACCACATCACAGTGCAACATTTCTTTTAAAATAAAGAATCCATAGTTTTGGTCTTTTTCTGGATCAACAAATTCTTCATAAATAGTCATTGCATATTCAGATTTATCCATGTGAACAAGATGTACACATATCTTTTCAAGAGCGTTTATATAATCCCTTGTAATATCTATATTACTATACATATGTTTAATCTAAAAATTTCACATTCATTATATGATTTTCTAAATGAATGGAGCAAGTAATGCTGATATAATAACAATTATAGTATTAATTTACCTTATTCAGCCAAGAAATATTACCACCCAATCCCACTATTTCAAGAAGTTCTAGAACTTGTCCCTCAGTCAAATCTATTGGATATCTTTCTAATACTTGATCGATGTCTTCAGAGTTACCTCTTTGTAAAATACCCTTTAAAACTGAATATTTAGTAGCAGTTGTTTCGGGAATCTGCGCAGTTTTCATGGTTCGTAACACAATTTCTCCAGACTTAAGACCTCTAAAATTGTCATAAATTTAACACATTTATGTATTACAGTTTCTAATTGTATCACAAACCCTTGAATTGTATGTGCTAAGACTAAATCGTTAAATATTTCCTCATTAACAGATATGCCCTTGATTTTCATCGTTTCTAATAATTCTAATGCTTGTACAATATCTGCTTTTTGACAAACATTATCTAACAGTAGTTTATATGTCTTCTGGTTAGGTTCAAATTTTACTTGTGATAAAAATTCTTTACAGTTTAATACTACACTGTTTTCTGTACATATTTCGATATAGGTATGCGAAATGTTCAAATCTAATTTATTACAATCTAACAGGTTTTTATAAATCTCTTGACAAATTTTATCTCTGGCCTGTTTAGAAGAATCAGCAACAGAATTTCCACAACATGTAAACAGTAATCTAGCATCTTCAGATGAAAGACTATCTGCAAAAATGAACTATCAATGACAATTATATATTCAATCCATACTATCGAGGCTGCAATGCCTGTGTCTAATCCACGTCAGTGTTTAAATTCCCTGACAATTTCTGGCATTAGATGGCAGCACTTTCTACCTCTACTGTGTAAAGGCCCTGCAATAAAATTCAATTAACTAAATTACGCCAAATAGCTAGATATCACCGATTAATATTTTGTGCTTGTTTTCATCAAACATAAATTTGATTTAACCATAACATAATAGGACTGAGCAATGAAAACTTTTAACTTGTGCTTTCGATGTACAATTATAACAATTAGCAGCAGCACTGTCTAACTGTTAAGGGACTAAAGTGGATTGATCACAAGTAATCCCTTTTATTCATAAAGATTATAGATATTTTCTAAATATCTTATCCTTGCCGATATGGTCAAATAAGCCAATGATCCATCAACAATAAATGAGAAAATTAATGGTATAAACATAACATACAACTTACTCTGGTAAGCTTTCGTATGTGAAATCACTGCAACAATAATATCACATTCCTAAAGCTCAATACACAGTAAATGGTAGATGAGTGTAAACAACCAAAAGTAAAACTTAAAAATAAAAAAAAACAATTGTTACTAAACTTACATACCAAACTTTATATTATTTAAAATATTTGCGACTAGTTTTAAATAAAATTGTTTTTCTTCATTAATATAATTTTTCAAATCTTCTATATTGGATACAGACTTTTTTTTTGATGGAACAGATGAAGTGGTAACAAAATATCTAAAATAAAAGCTGCAACTATTTAGTTATTAAGTGAATAATAATAACTTACTTTGGCAAGTAAAAATTGTATCGATAATACAACTTATTTTGTAATATTTCTTGTTTGAAAAAACAAGTATAAAGAAAAGGATTATACACAAAGTAATTAAGCCTCCTTAAATGCTTCAATATACATCTACAACCAGTCTGCATTGTCCTCAAAGTCGAAAAACTGTTAAACATAATTTCAAAATTTCCAATTACTTATTCCATGTTTCAAAATTTCCTTTATTTATTCCATATTCTTCATGAAATAGGATTAGATTTTACTAGATATATTAAAATTATAAATGTATGAAATTAGGTTATGTATGGTAGGATTATTTTCTCGTAGTTCATTTGAGCAGTTTATGTACTTTTGAATTACTAACTAAACTAACTACTAAACACCAATACTCGCGCCATTATTCTATGGCTAGAAATTGGCCTCAATGATTTGGGATCGAGGCGCCATTATTCTATGGCTAGAAATTGGCCTCAATGATTTGGGATCGAGGGGGATTATCCCTCTTTATCCTGCCTCATCTCGTGTAGGCCTGGACAGCCTTGTTAGGGCNCTCACTCGCCACTGTTAGTTCCTGGGGTACGTTCCCCACTCACGGTTGCGTTCCCGTGCACTACCCCCCTGTTGCAACGACTGTCACGAGTTTCAACATTAAAAGGCGGTTGATATTTCTTCAGGTTGAATACATTGTGAAGTCCCTTAGTCAGTCCTTCTTCGTCACACAGTTCATAAGAATTAACAGCCCTTCGTGCAGTTACACGGTACGGACCCTCAAACAACAAAAAGAACTTCTTAATGGTTTTGTCTTCAGCCGACGATATTGGATGTGTTCGCACGTACACCTTGTCACCTACGTTAAATTCGACGGTTTTACCCTGGTTATTGTGACGTTGTTGTCGCCGCATTGCTTTTGATTTTAACCTCTCGCTAGCTAACTTGATTACTGTTTCATGTTCGGGAAGCGAATAAGACTCCGGAAACGCTACTGCTCCTGGAAATTGTCTGGTTCTATGAAATTGGACCTCATTAGGGGTAAATCCAGTCGAGTCATGAACTACTTGGTTTAGTAAGCATTCCACCTCGGGAATAACATATGCCCATCTGGTATGTCGATTAAAACACATAGATCGTAACAAACGGCCAATTTCTCGGTTGACCCTTTCGGTACTATTTCCCTGGGGAAAATAAACTGAAGTGAAAGATACTTTAACGCCTAGCAACGTCATTTCATTCAACCATTTCGTCGACCTAAACTGGGTACCATTGTCTGATAGAATGCGCTGAATCCCCCCTACTTTAGCAACATATTTCTTGACATGATTAACTATAGACACCGTCGTAGCCCTCTTTAGACAAAACAAAGACACGTGCTTGGAGAAGGCGTCAATCAGAACTAGCAGAAAAACGACACCCCCTCTGGACTTGGGTAGTGGTCCCATCAAATCAATACAAACCAGCTCATTTGGACCATTTGTAATCACACTATTCATCGGGCCTCTACCGTATTTGGAAATTTTTGCTTTCTGACATAAGTCACATGATCGTACAATTTTTAATACTTGACTCCTCATTTTGCGCCAATGAAACCATCTTTTCATCGCTAAAAATACTTTATGTGGGCCAAAGTGACCATTGGTAACATGTTCACTTGTCACTAATGCCACCACTAGCTTGGCGGGTACACAGATTTTATACCCATCGTATTCCTTCTTGAACAAAATCTCATTATGCATGACATACCACTCCGAAGCCTCTCTTTTTAACTGGTTTCTAATTTCCGTTAGTTTTTCATCGTTCTCTTGCTCCGTCTTTAAATTCTTTAGCAGGCTTCTTTGAGTTTCGACATACTCCTCAATAGCGATCTTCTGTAACTCCACCTCAATGGTATCCACACTATCCCGACTACTGTTGTCTACCACCGGATACCGCGATAGCGCATCGGCCACAACATTGTCTTTCCCCGGGCAATAGACTATATCAAAGTCATACTCCTGCATATACAGAGTCCACCGTGTCAAACGCGAGTTCAATAATCTACACTTTTTCAAAAACGTTAACGATTTATGGTCTGTAATCACGGTCAGTTTTGCCCCCAACACGAAGGTACGCCACTGTTTCAGACAATGAATCGCTGCCAAAGCTTCCTTTTCAGTTATCCCATAGTTCAGTTCTGCTCCCCTTAAAACTCGACTACAAAAAGCTACCATCCTCACCGAGTCATCATCGTCTTTTTGGAACAGACATCCCCCTATACCGAAGAATGAACTATCACACTGTATATAATATGGTTTTTTCGGATTAGGATGATATTGCATTACAGCTCGCACAAAAGCATCTTTCAGTTTTTGAAACGCTCTGCCTTCCTCAACCCCCCAATGCCAACGTTCCCCCTTTTTCAACAATTTCAAGAGAGGTACTGATATTTCAGAAATTCTTAAACAATATCGCCTATCATAATTGCACAAACCCAAGAATGATTTTAAATGTTTTACATTCCTTGGTAAGGGAAAATCCCTAATAGCTTTAACTCTGTCAGGGTCCATCTCGATCCCTTTTCTCGAAATAATGTGCCCTAAAAATCGAACTGATGCCTGCCCAAATTTTGATTTCCTTAATTTTACGGTAACATTATTTTGTTTTAATTTGGTCAACAATATTTTTAAATGTTTAATGTGAGACAACTCATCAGGCGAAAACACTAATATATCGTCAACATATATCAATAAAAAATCCTCAACATCTGCTCCTAAAATTTTACCTAATCCCCGTATGAAACTACTCACGGAAGTTGATAATCCGAACGGTAAAACCTGGAAAACATATGTCTGCCCTTCATATAGAAATCCAGTATATTTTTGATCATTCGCCTTAATCGGGATTTGCCAATACGAACAACTTAAGTCTAAAGTACTTAAAACCGTCCCTTCCTCAAAATTAAACAATAATTCGTCTGGGTTCGGTGGCATCACATGTTCTTTCACCATTTTACTATTTAAATGCCGTGCATCTAAACACACTCTCACAGATTTATCTTTTTTTATCACCGTGACCAGAGGGCTCACATACTCAGTCGGAGCAGCTCTTATCACCCCCCAATCCAACATTTCTTTTATTTGTGTGCGTACGGTTTCTTTATGCGNGGTTTATAAAGCACTTAAAACAGCTAGTTAATAAGGGCGTCTGCCGTCGAATGGTGAATGCCGAGTGTCGAATGGTGAATGTGTGGTTCCATGTGTCTTATCAGTCTTATCTGCCCTAGCCGAGGAATTTGTTTATTTTACTTAGCCCTTGCCTCTTGGGTTAAGTGTTCACATTATCGGTATTCGCTCGATTTCTAACAATATCAAGGTTTGATTAGAAATTTAAACTGAAATTTCATAATTTTTTATGATTCCTAATAAGATTGTACAGTTTTTGAAACTAGAACATCCTGAAACATATACAGGCCATTCATTCGAAAGAACATCGGCAACATTACTGGCTAATACATGAAATCAAGAGACATGGTGGGTCAGCCACAATTGCAGAAAGTTATGTTGCTGACAGTTTAAGCAAAAATGAAATACTCTTCAACTCCAGATTCTAATGGTACGTCGCATCATGCTGTTTTAATGGATCAGTCAGATAATGTTGAGCCTCCGGTGACTGAAATGGAGGGGTAAAATCGTTTTGAGAAAAATGTGATAATTAGTAAACGCGAGGGGAATAATTATCCAGATTATATAAATATTATTAAATATAATAACTGAATTACTATAAATAATCATTCATAATAATAAATAAAATGTAATTTTTATCAAATATTTCTATTTATTTGTTCATAAAATATGCATTTATAACACGAAATCCACTTACCTCATTAAAAACAATGTATTAATGGTTTATTTGCTATAGTGGCAGCAGATAAACATCGGTATCATTATTTTAGTTAAATAACGTATGCATTTTTTTTTAAATCGGTTGATAGCCGCACGGTTTAAGGCTTCAGTACTTGAATCGATGTGTGCTATCTGCCCGGGTTTCGAATCCCGCGGCCGGTAGACCGTAGATTAGCTATGCTTGTACGGAGGATTGGCACCCTCTATGCAGGTATGGTAGAGTGGAAGAATGTTGACTTGGGTCAATGTGAGAGACTGACACCAGTTGGCATTTGACCACCCCCCTAATTAATGAGGTTTTCCAGGTTTCTCTCATTCCTGCACTGATTGGTGGTTAGGGCCTACCAACAGAAGTCGTTCCTGGACGCAAATGCGGCCTGTTCAATAATAATATGCCGCCTCCACTCCCGCACAAGTCTCTGACTTCTGGGCTAATTTTCGTAGTTAGAATGAGAGATATT